CACAGACGTACCACCACATCTGACTCATGGTTCACGTCTTTTATTTGCTTCATTTATTTGTTTGTTTGGGTTTCTCTGTGTATTCTTGGCTGTCCTGAAACTGGCCTCATAGACCAGGCTGGCCTCAAATTCATAGAGATCTACCTGTGTCTGCCTCTCAAGTGCTGAGATTAAAGGCATGGAATATAACTATGTATTTATGGTGTTTGTTTCGAGACAGGGTTTCTCTGTGTAGTTCTCTGGCTGTCTTGGAACTCGATCTGTAGAACAGGCTTTGAACTCAGAGATTCATTTGCCTCTGCCTCCTGAGAGCTGGAATTAACAGTGTGCACCACCAACTCCTGGAGATTCGTTTTATTCTTCGAGATAGGGCCTCACTATGTAACCCAGCCTGGACCAGGATCTACCATCCTCCTGCCTCTGCCTCCTTGGTACTGAGATTACAGATGTGAACCACCACACCTAGCTTACTTCCAGTTTCTCTAAGAGACTAAAGAACAGTAATCATACTTTACCCTGACTATACATTAGAGTCACCTGGGAGCTTGCAGTAACTGTCAATGCTTGTGCCTAACCCAGCAATGAATCATTAACTCTGAGAAAGGACAAAAAAAGTCTTTCCTCTTAAGTTTTCCAGGTGACTCTAGGTGATAAGTCTCTCTGCTTTTGTGTCAGCGTGTCTGTAAAACATCTCCAAACAGCTCGTCGTGTCTCTCTGTCATCTAAGTGTCCCAGTAATTGTGAAGGTTGTACAGAAATGGAGAGAGAATTATGTGTGTGAGGGCGGTTTGAAGGTCTCCCTAAGCCTCGGTTCTGAGTCCTTTTTGTCAAGATGGTTTGTGTTTGTACCCTCACTGAAGAAACTTGATGCCAGACAAATTCAAAATAAAGCTTTCCTAGAGTCTCACCAAACCAAGGTGACTGAGTACCAGCCACTGTGTGGCGAAATCCAAAATATGCCTGTGGAGGTGCTGGCTCGGGAAATGGTCTGTGTTGCAAGCATGAATCAGCAGTTTTGGAAATGGGTGCGTCTCACCCTTGCACCTCGGGCCAAGGTCATAGATGTGCATCATTAGGGCAATCTGGTGAATTCTGTGCACTAGAGTAGACATCCTTATTTTTTAAAATTTATTAGAGAGAGAGAGAGAGAGAGAAGTGTGTGTGTGTGTGTGTGTGTGTGTGTGTGTGTGTGTGTTGGGGAGTATACGTGTCCCGTTACGTGTATAGAGGTTAGAGGACCACCCACAGGAGTGAGTTCTCTGTTTCTACCATGAGGGTTGTAGGTATCCAGGTCGTCAGTCTTAGTGGCTAGTGCCTTTGTCTGCTGAGCTGCCTCACCAGAGGTGTAGAAGTAGCCCAGCCTCACACGCTCTCCAGGTCAGTGGAAGCTGGGAGTGACCAAGATGAAGGTTCTGGTTCCTGGTTGGCTCAGCCAAAGCTGTGCTGTCTTGGACAGCTCTCTGTATCTTATGGAGCATGAATCTGTTGCACAGACGACTGAATGAGTAATGTAAGGTAAAAGGTTAGTGTAAGTTTCCCCTAATTCTCTTTTCTTTCTTCATTTATGCCCCATATCTTGTGGTCCTAGTACAGGTCCAACTTGAAAGACTTCGGCACCAGACCACAACGACTTGCCAAGGTACCCATGTGCCCCACCCTCCTTGGCATGCCAAGACCAAGGGCGTGGTGTGGAAGCAGCAGGAGGGAGGCTTCTCTGGGGAAGTGGCTGCCGTCGGCCAGGTTAGCGGCAGCCTAGACTGCTTGTCAGTGCTCCTGCCCATGCCTTGGGCCTCGGTGATTCACCCTGCTCTGTGCACATAGGGTCTGCTCCACAGCAGAGAGGGGGGAAGGGTGGGCCCAAGTCGCTGGGGAGTCTGGGGCCCCATTGCAGCCTGCAGCCCAGGAGGAGGCTGACTTCAGTCTCCAGGGCTTGCAGGCAGTGGACAGCTATGATGTCTCCTTTACAACACTGGAAATTCTAGTGAAGCATTTCATTTTGGCCAGTCTGTATGGAATGTGAAAAAAATCAGATGTCTTTTTAGTCAGGGAATAGCTTTGATCCAATGAAGCAGAATAAAAATGTAAGAAAAACTACCTTGCTAGTCTTCCATTCTTTTCTGTGTCTGTACCGACATAGCATGGTGTTTACAGACTGCAACACCTCCTCCTTTTCTGTGTCTGTACCAACATAGCGTGGTGTTTACATACTACAACACCACCTCCTTTTCTGAGTCTGTAACAACATAGCATGGTGTTTACAGACTACAACACCACCTCCTTTTCTGTGTCTGTACCGACATAGCATGGTGTTTACAGACTACAACACCTCCTCCTTTTCTGTGTCTGTACCGACATAGCATGGTGTTTACAGACTACAACACCACCTCCTTTTCTGTGTCTGTACCGACATAGCATGGTGTTTACAGACTGTAACACCTCCTCCTTTTCTGTGTCTGTACCAACATAGCGTGGTGTTTACATACTACAACACCACCTCCTTTTCTGAGTCTGTAACAACATAGCATGGTGTTTACAGACTACAACACCACCTCCTTTTCTGTGTCTGTACCGACATAGTGTGGTGTTTACAGACTACAACACCACCTCCTTTTCTGTGTCTGTAACGACATAGCGTGGTGTTTACAGACTACAACACCACCTCCTTTTCTGTGTCTGTACCGACATAGTGTGGTGTTTACAGACTACAACACCTCCTCCTTTTCTGTGTCTGTACCGACATAGTGTGGTGTTTACAGACTACAACACCTCCTCCTTTTCTGTGTCTGTACCGACATAGTGTGGTGTTTACAGACTACAACACCTCCTCCTTTTCTGTGTCTGTAACAACATAGCATGGTGTTTAAAGACTACAACACCTCCTTTTCTGTGTCTGTACCGACATAGCGTGGTGTTTACAGACTACAACACCTCCTCCTTTTCTGTGTCTGTACCGACATAGTGTGGTGTTTAAAGACTACAACACCTCCTTTTCTGTGTCTGTACCGACATAGCGTGGTGTTTACAGACTACAACACCTCTTTAAAACTAAGGTTAATTTTTAAAGTAAAAAATTATTTTATGTGTACAGCGTGTGTGGTGTGTGTGTTTGTGGTGTGTGTGTGAGGGTGTGGCAGTGTATATGTGGTGTGTGTATGTATGTAGATGTGTGTGTGTGTGAGAGAGTGATGTGTGTGGCGAGTGTATATGTGTCTGTGTGTGTATGTGTGGTGTGTGTGTGTGGTGTGTTTGAGAGAGAGTGGTATGTGTGGTGAGTGTGTCTGTGTGTCTATGTGTGTATGTGTGTGGTGTGTGTATGTATGTAGATGTGTTTGTGTGTGGTGTGTGTGTGTGTGAGAGAGAGAATGGTATGTGTGGTGAGTGTGTGTGTCTGTGTCTGTATGTGTGTATGTGGTGAGTGTGTATGTGACTGTGTGTATGTGTGGTGTGTGTATGTGTGTGTGGTGTGTGTATGAGAGTGCACGTCTGTGTGTGTATGGTGAGTGTGTGGTGTGTGCCTGGTGAGTGTGTGTCTGGTGAGTGTGTGTGAGTGTGTATGTGAACAGGCATGCACTTGCCACAGTTGTCATGTGAAGGTCAGAGGACAGCTCTCAGGAACCAGTTTTGTCTCACCTTCTTGCAGGATCCAGGGATTAAAGGAAACTTTCAATTAAGTTTTGTTTGTTTGTTTTTTAAGATGGGGTCTCTCATAGTTCTGACTGCCCTGGAATTTACTCTGTAGACCAGGCTGGCCTCACAACTCACAGAGATCCACCTGCCTTTGCCTCTAGAGTGCCGGGATCAAAGGTGTGCACCACCAGCACCTGGTGGGGCTTGATTTCTTAAGACTCCATGTTTGTAATTTTCTTTGCTCTGACGTGAATGTGAATTTGTGTTGAATACTTTTACTTTTCTTTTTTGGACACAAGGTCTCATTACGCATAGATGATGTAGCCTATGACTTCACACTGGCGACCTTCCTGCCTCTCTAGTGCTCACATTGCAAGGTGCCGGGATTTCAGGCATTGTTGCCCTGGGAAATCTGAAACCTCCTGACGTAATGTGAGCACTCAGAACGTTAGAGGTGGAGTTTCCCAATTACAGATGTACAGCATATTTTTTAAGTCTGTTTATAAACTTTTCTTTTAAGGAGGGCATAGTGTGCCACACCTTTAATCCTCATTCTAGGGAGGCAGAGGCAGTCAGATCTCTTTGAGGCCAGCTTGGTCTACAGAGTGAGTTCCAGGACAGCCAAGGATACACACAGAGAGATCCTGTCTTGGATAAAACAAAACAAAACAAAACAAACAAACAACAAAACATCACACAGAAATAATTTTTTCTTTTAGATTTCTTTGTTTTATGTGTATTTTTTCTGTATGTGTATGTGTATCCCATGTGCATGCCTAGTGTACATGGAGGTCAAAAGAGAGATCGTATGCCCTGGAGTTCGGGTGGGCATGAACTGCCCTGTCTCCTGGGATAGAGTCCACATTTTTTGCAAGAGCAACAAGCACTCTTTTTTTTTTTTTTTTTTTTTGGTTTTTCGAGACAGGGTTTCTCTGTGGCTTTGGAGGCTGCCCTGGAACTCGCTCTGTAGACCAGGCTGGTCTCAAACTCACAAAAATTCACCTGCCTCTGCCTCCCGAGTGCTGGGATTAAAGGCGAGCACCACCAACGCCCAGCCTGCAACAAGTACTCTTAACTGACAGCCGTTGCTCCAGCTGTTTCTTTGAAGTCATACATCATCCTGTGTCCATATATGATTCTTGTATTGAAACGGAGTCTCACCGTATGATGCGAGCTGGCCTCGAACTGTTATTCTCCCTAGTGCTGGGAGCACAGATGGTGACCACCATGTCCAGCAGCTCCCTGCCGCCCCTGTGCTGAGCCCTGAACCCAAAGCCTTCTTGATGCTACTGAGTCTGTGACCACTGAGCCACACCCTCTACCCACATTCTTTTCTTTTTTACAGCTAAGGCTCTTTTTTTTATTCCCTTTAGGAATATATCATCAGGGTACAAAGAGGAATTTCCACAGAAAACAGCTGGCAGGTAAGCATTTTTGTCTATTAGAAAAAGTGTTTAAGCTGTGGCCAAAGCTGTCTTAGGATATCAGAAAATCTGGAAAAGTCAGCATATTCATACAGTACAAGACATATTTCTTTTAGGTGTAAGTCTTTAGTTTTCTTTTTTTCCTTTTAATTTCATGTGTGCGTGTGTGCATGCATGCATGCATGTGTTTCTCAGTGTGGGTTTGTATAAGTGAATGCCGTGCCCACAGAGGCCAGAAGAGGAAGTTGGATTCCATGACCGGCAGTTGTGAGTCACGTGGTGTGAGTATCGGGAAGCACACGGGGCCCGTGCAGGACTAGCGTGCACTCCTAATCCCTGACCCGTTTCCTCAGCCCCACCCGTCTTCAGCTTTAAGATAGTTGCTCAGAGCCTCTGTTCCCGATGGTTAGTTAATGTGTGTGTGGGGTGATCTGGAAGAATAGAAAGTCGTTCTCCAATTCAGCCCAGGAAACTAAGGTGACTCTCCAGGTAAAAATGCTGTGCAGGCAGGTCACTACATGCTATGGACGGGTTTGCTGCTGAACAGCTGGAGCTGTCTCCTTCATTGTCCCTAAGGAAGGCTCTTCCTGAGGTCCCTGGCTCTGCTTTTCTCAGTGCTGGCCTTAAAGAGAAAAAGACAATGGAGAAAAGGTCTCCCATCCCCGCTGGCTGGAGAAGGGCAGCTGAGCTCTTGACGGGGCTGTCTTAGAGCTGCCATCCTGCCCCTCCTGATAGTGTGTCAGCGCTCTGCGACCCAGCTCCACCAGAGACTTCGCCTTGCACGGTCCCTGACCACAGGGCTCCAGCCGCAGTCTTTCTTTGCCTCAATTTTCAGACTACTTTTATTTGAATATTTATCACATCTGTTATCTGTTGGGTTTATGAAGTGTCCACCGCTGATTTAAACACATTCATTTACTCCACTCTTAAACCATTCCTCGGTAGCAGCATTATTTCCACTTGAGACACTGTTGAGGTAGGTAACTGGCCTGAGGTTGCACATTGTAGACGTTGGCAGAGCAGCGTTGCAACCTGCATTTCCTGCAGTTGAGCGCTGTCCTGTCTTTGGCTTCCTTGTTGCCAGGGATGGACATACATGTAGCACTGTGTGCGTTGTCAAGGATGGACGTGCATGTAACACCATGTGTATATGACAGGGATGGAGGTACATGTAACACTGTGTGTTGACAGGGATGGAGGTACATGTAACACTGTGTGTGTTGACAGGGATGGATGTACATGTAACACTGTGTGTGTTGACAGGGATGGACGTGCATGTAACGCTGTGTGTGTTGACAGGGATGGATGTACTTGTAACACTGTGTATTTGTCAGGGATGGACATACATGTAACACTGTGTGTATTTGTCAGGGATGGACATACATGTAACGCTGTGTGTATTTGACAGGGATGGACTTACATGTAATGCTGTGTGTGTTGACAGGGATGGACGTGCATGTAACACTGTGTGTGTTGACAGGGATGGACGTGCATGTAACGCTGTGTGTGTTGACAGGGATGGATGTACTTGTAACACTGTGTATTTGTCAGGGATGGACATACATGTAACACTGTGTGTATTTGTCAGGGATGGACATACATGTAACGCTGTGTGTATTTGACAGGGATGGACTTACATGTAACGCTGTGTGTGTTGACAGGGATGGACGTGCATGTAACACTGTGTGTGTTGACAGGGATGGATGTACATGTAACACTGTGTGTGTTGACAGGGATGGATGTACATGTAACACCGTGTGTATTTGACAGGAATTGTCCTATCAGTGTAGCCAAGCCCCAATGGAAGTTTTTCTAGCTCCACTGCCTTACGTACCTGGCATAATTAACAAAAATGGGCTCTTGGACCCCACCTGAGCCCTACCCATTGAAGCTGTCTTCCGGGGAGGCTCCAGGTGGCATCCAGGTAGTTTATCTACATACATTTGAGAACCACCGATAAAGACTGGAGTCTAACTATTCAAAAGCACAGTGATTACTTAGCGAGATGCCTCATTTATGGTTTCCAGCTGTAATGAAACACTAAGACCAAAGGCAACTTGGGGAGAAAAGGGTTTATTTCACCTTACAGCTTCTAAGTCCGTCCTGAGGGAGGACAGGCAGGAGCATGGAGGCGAGAACTGAAGCAGAGGCCGTGGAGGAGGCCGCTTCCTGGCTGGCTCCTTGTGCCTTGCTGAGCCTGCTTTCCGACGGCATTCAGGGCCCAGCCCATAGTGGCGCACCCACAGAGAGCTGGATCCTGCCGCAGATGGGTGACTGCACCCATCAGTCGATGCGCTGTGCCACAGGCCAGCATGTTTGGGACATTTTCTAATTGAGATTCCCTCTTCCCAGGTGACTTTCGCTGGTGCCATACTGACATAAAAGTAGCCAGCACGCCAGGGCTAGGGGGACTTGGCTGTGTTCTAAGCAGCAATGTCAGTATAACCAAGAAACGGCTGGGACATAAAGGCTGGACTGTTTGCCGAGAGGTGGAGCAGGAACGACTTAGGGAGGTGGCATTTTGACTGGATGATGTCTTAGTCCTGACTAGAACAGATGACATCACAGCTGTGTGTGTCCTTTTGTTTTCATTTGGGCTCAGTAAGATTTTCTTTTTCCTTTGTAAGTCATTAATCTACCCCTCATGTACTCCGTTAAAATGGACGATATTTGAAAGGCAACTTGACCTGAAAACAAGACAAAAACATTTTTTTGCTGCTTAAATCTCTTGTTGATGCCTTGTGTTGGCCCAGTGTTACAGTTTATGCCGCCCGGCAACCTTCGGGAGACTGCTATGCGCATTTTCTGGGCTCACCAATCAAAGTGAACGCTAGGCAGCGATGCTTGGCCTGGTATAGGTGCTGTGGCTCTGGCGCCCCAGAGAATCCCAGGTCGGGGTGGAGAGCGACGCCTCTGCTGAATCAAAACACCACTGTCTTCTCTCTTACAGATTGTGCGAAGATACAGTGACTTCGATTTACTTAACAGCAGCTTGCAGGTAAATGTTCCAAAACGCTGGTGACACACACACATCGGTTGTTTATGATGTCTCACTAGTTAGGAGTCATATGGACAGTGCCCTTTTGTGAATGGGAACTGACGACATCGGTTACTAGAGTCCATGTAGGTGTATCTAGGGCACTCTTCTTTCTTTCCTACAGTTAGCACTGTGGATCAGCATTAAACCACAGCAACAGAGACTCAGTCTTTTTCTGTTTGATGGTTTCTCTGAAGGTACACCTTTCTAAATCTCCTAGATTCTAATATTCTAAAAGAAGAAAGCTGGGACCCGGAGGTGGTGGCCTTTAACCCCAGCACTCAGGAGGCAGAGGCAGGTGGATCTCTGTGAGTTCGAGGCCAGCCTGGTCTACAGAGTGAGTTCCAGGACAGCCTCCAAAGCCACAGAGAAACCCTGTCTTGAAAATCCAAGGGGGGATGGGGCCGTGCAAAGGCTTTGTCTGCAACGATAGCCGTGCCACAGGTCTCAGCTGGGTCAGAGTCCTGGTCGTGTCGGTTCTCTCCCTGGCAGACTGGTCTTCAAGGGCCGTGGAGTACTAAAGACTGCCGGGCTTGTGCCGTTCCTCAATCTGAGTGTTAACGGAAGCCTTCCAGTGCGATGTGGAGTGCTCACTTGACGACCAGATGGTCTGGGAGGCCAAGGACTGCTCCCTTGGTGGTGAGCTAGCGTCCCAGATGCTGGGTGACTCATGTCGTGCCCCAAGGCCCGGAGAACTGGGGAGGGGAGCATAGTGCTTCCTTTTCCCTCACACAGCCGTGCTTTATGTCAGACTTGAGACAATGCTGTCGGTAGAGCGCAAACCTTACTCACTGTAAAAGCTCGGGTACTTCTGCAGACAACGGGGAGTTGTTTGTTGTGCCTGTGGCCCTTGCAGTTCGGTTCTGGGGACCCCGAGTGCAGCGTCCTTCACCTGCTGCCGCATGCTCTCTGCTGCTGAGCCCCGCCTTCATCCCGTATTTGTTTGAATTTTAGTATGACCAGCTGGATTCTTTTATTTATTTAAATTAGAAGCAATCTTGTTGGGGCTGGAGAGATGGCTCAGTGGTTAAGAGCACTGGCTGTTCTTCAAGAGGACCAGATTCAATTCCCAGCACCACATGGCAGCTCACACCTGTGTATAACTCCAGCTCCAGGGATCTGACACCTTCAGACCAGTGTACATAAACTAAATAAGTTAAATAAATAAAAAAAATCTTGTATTATGTGTCAATCCCAGTTCCTTCTCCCTCCTACCGGCCTCCTTATCCCATCCCCTTTCTGCTCCCCAGGGAGGGTGAGGCCTTCCATGGGGATCTTCAAAGTCTGCCACATCATTTGGAGCAAGGCCTAGGCCCTCCCCCGTGTATCCAGGCTGAGAGAGCATCCCTCTATGTGGAATGAGCTCCCAAAGTCCATCTACTAGAGATAAACACTGATCCACTGCCAGAGGCCCCATAGAATGCCCAGGCCTCCTCACTGACACCAGTGTGACCAGTTGAATTCTTACAGAGCAAACATGCTATTTTCTTAAGTCTTGCCAGGGTTGGAGGGAGGGCTCAGTGGTTAAGAGCACTGGCTGCTCTTCCAGAGGTTCTGAGTTCAATTCCCAGCAACCACATGGTGGCTCACAACCATCTATAATGAGATCTGGTGCCCGTTTCTCACAAGCAGATAGAGCACTCATAAATCTTTAAAAAAAAAAAGATTAGTTTTGCCATGTGCTAGCCTGGAAATTATTTTTGCTTCAGCATAGTTTTCCTTTTAAAAATTAGTGCTTCCAATATGAATCTTATTTTTTTGAGATGTATTTATTTATCATATATGCAGTGTTTAGTCTGCATGTATGCCTTCAGACCAGAAGAGGGCACCAGATCTCATAACTGATGGTTGTGAGCCACTGTGTGGTTGCTGGGAATTGAACTCAGGGTCCTTTGGAAGAGCATTTAGTGCTCCTGACCTCTGAGCCATCTCTCCAGCCCTGCATCTTATTTCAGATGCAGATATCTACATACTGTGCATGTGTTTTTAGGGTTTGTGTGTGTGTGGGGTGGGGTTGTTTTGAGACAAGGTTCCATATAGTTTAGCTGGCTTCCAGCTTACTTTGTAGGCTGGTCCTCCTGTTGTCTCAAAAGCTGGGATTGTGGGAATGCCCACATCTGACAGTGGGAGGGTTCTCTTCATCCGCGTGAACAGACGTGTACATGTAACTTTTTAGCAGTGAAATAATTTTAACACAGCCTCCATAACCAGAGGACTCGGGAACCTCAGAGTGAAACTCTGACCATGGTTTTCAGGATCTGATTATTCTCTACAGATAAATGAATTCCTGCTGAAGGAGAGAAATAGCATCCCATGTTTGGAGCGGGCCTGAGTACAATAGAAACACACTTTAGTGAGATGACATTTTCAGGATGTAAGCTTGTGATAGAAGATGATGTTTCAGAATGTGAACTTACATACCATATGATACATGAAGTGTTTAGGAAAAAAGATTGAAAGGAAATTCGCCAGAATGTTCCCTGATGATCCCCAGGTGGCAGGATTGAGGGTTCAGGTCTTTTTTGCCTAGCTTCTTTATAGTGTTTGGTGCTTTCCATGTTCTGTTAATTACATGTAAACTAAACTACATAAGTAAAAAAGAAAACAGAAGAAAAGTCTGTGTTTTCCAAAATGTTTTATGGTTATCATATTTCACATTAAGGACACAAAAAAGAAAAGAAAAAGCACCGCATTTCAGATAAATATAATGTCAGATTATCAGCCATCCAGGGAGACCGTGCAGTGAGGAGGAGGAGGACAGGAGAAAGGGGTGGGTGTGATGGGAAAACCCAGGCTCTGGCCACGCCTTCTCTCAGGCCTCGTTTTCCCCTCTCAAATGGAGGTTGACTTCCGTGGTCTCTCATACTCCAGATGTTGTACAGGATTTGAGTTTGACTGCCCACTGTCGACCTTGGAGAGCTTACTTTATGATGAGACAGATCAAGGGTTGTGGGAGTGTAGAACACTCACTGACATGCGATTGAAGGAGATGTTAAAATCTGACGATGGAAAGGATAAGGAGAGGGACCAGTCCGGAGCTCACATCCATCCGTAGGCAGTAGGCATGCATAGGGTGCACAGACATAAATGCAAGAGAAGCAGTTACACACATAAACTCTCTAAAAATTAAACTGTTGTTAAACAGAAAAAGACGGTGTTCACTTCCATATGTGAGCATATCGCATGATTTACACGAAAGTAAGATTATGTCCTATAATTTCATAAGATACTTTTAAAGGATACACCAGTTATGCCTAGGCTATCTTAATATATGGCCTTAGTAATTCTTTCTGCCCCTGAACAACATCAAGTAAAAGGATTGGCATGCTGAGTGATGTGCTTTCTTTGTACCTATGCCCTATGTTTAGCTAAGGAAGAAACTGTTACCACTTCTTGACCTTCCTGCTAAGATCAAGTGAAGAAACGGCTTAGATGAAGCTTAATTTTCTGAATGAGGAGAACCACTTGAAATTTAAGTGTCTCATCTGGTGACAAACTCTGCTATGATAGAAAATCTGTGCTATTCATGTCTGAAAGATTTTCATAGTTATACAGGAGAAATAGGCAACTTAGATTTGTCATGTTGTACTCGTTACTTTCTGTTGCTGTGATAAAAAAAAAAAAAAACCGTGACCAAGACACCTCATAGAAGAGAGTTTATTTTGACAGCTTTCTCGAGGGCTAGAGTCCCGGGATGGTAGGGACAGCGTGGCAGCAGGCGGCTGGCATTGAAGCTGAGAGGTCATACCCTGAAGTACAGGCATGAAGAAGAAAGAGCGGACTTCAGGGAGGGCAAGGCTGCAGGCTCTCAAAACCTGCGTGTATTAACATATTTCCTCCAGCAAGGCCACACCTCCTGACCCTCCCCAAAGAGAAGCCCCGGCTGGGGACCAAGCATGGGTGCATGCGTGCTGTGTGAGCCTGTGGGGGCCATTCTCATTCCAACCACATTCCAAATGTGTCTTTCATTTGACTGTGTCATGGTTGCTTGAGAAATCTGGAGTGGAGCCTGAGTTTGGATACCATGCACCCTTTCTAAATCTAAGATGCCCTTCTCAGTAGGCCTTACCCTTAGTCGATCAATATGTGTAACATTTGGATAGCTTTTTGGTACAAGTGCTAGAAAGCACTATAGCATTCCTCTTTGAAAGAGACTTTGTTTTTCCAGTTTAAAAATAGTCTCAAAAGTTTGAAGAGGTCTGGGAAATGACAGGAGATTGAGTACCTGCATTTGCCTTTTCTTCCTCCCTAGCTGTCGCGAGCAGTAGTGACTTGACTTTACACTCGCATGCACGCACGCACGCACGCACGCACGCTCCTTGAGGGACAAATAGAAATGCAGAAGTGACACATGCCTGGCCTCTGTGGATTGGAGGCAAATTCCATAGCCAGCTTCTTCTGTCCTTCACTCTAAAGCCAGAACCACTTGGCTGAAGCTGCCAAGTTCTGCTGCTTGCTGGGGCTGGGGTGTGGCCCCTTGTTCAGTTATGTCTTCACCAGCTTTCTGTCCGTCACTGCCTAAGCTTGGCTGTCCTGGAACTGGATCTCTAGACCACAATGACCTCACACTCAGATCTGCCAGTCTCAATCCTCTTCATGATAAATCTTCACCAGAGTTACCACTAACAACCACACAACAGAGTCTATACTAGGTTGTTTTGAGATTTCCTCTGCCAGTGGAAGTAATCCAGAACTCTTCACTTTAGCCTCAGGCAGACTTTTCCAACAAGGGCAAAAGGTAGCCACTTTCTTCATGAAAATATCATGAGAACAGTCTGTAGGTGACATACTAAAATTCTCCTGTCCCCCACAGTCTTCCGTGCTCCTAACAGTGTGGCCCATCACGCTGTGCTTAAAGCCTTCCACGCTTTCCTAACCCAAACTCCAAAGTCCAAATTCCTCCAAATAAAAGTATGGTCAAGTCTGGGCGGTGGTAGCGCATGCCTTTAATCCTAGCACTCGGGAGGCAGAGGCAGGCGGATCTCTGTGAGTTCGAGGCTGGGCTGGACCGATAGCCTCCAAAACAATACAGAGAAACCCTGTCTCATTAAAAAAAAAAAAAAAAAGAGAAAGACAGACAGACTGGATGGCCTCACGGTCCCTCAGCTTACTGTAAAGTGCTATCCTGTGTGCCCTGACTTTCCCCAGGGCAGAAGCTGTGCTCAGGGTCTGGGCTGGCACCAACAGCCAGTGGGACCTGCCATACTTACTCAGCCATGGTGAAGGCCAGTTCAAAGTTCTTCTGCTGTTGTGTGGGGCTCAGGGCATTGTAGTTGAAGGCATCAGGGAAACCCTGTCTCGTAAAAACCAAAAAAAAAAAAAAAAAAAAAAAGTATGGTCAAGGGCCAGGCAGTGGTGTTTCACTCCTTTAATCCAAGCACCCAGAGGCAGAGGAAGGCAGATCTCTGTGAGTTCGAGGCCAGCCTGGTCTACAAGACTTAGTTCCAGGACAGCCAAGGCTGTTACACAGAAAAACCTATCTCAAAAAACAAAACAAACAAACAAGTGAAAAACCATGGTCAAGCCTATCACAGCAATACCCCACTCCTTGGTAGAAAATCTGTCTAGGGACTGAAGAGATGGCTCAGAGTTAGAATCCTGCTTGCTCCTTCAGAGGTCCTGAGTTGAATTTCCAGCAACCAGGTAGTGGCTCACTACCATCTATAATGAGATCTGGTGCCCTTTTCTGGTCTGCAGACACACATGCAGGCAGAATACTGTCTACATAATAAAATCTTTTTTTAAAAAAATCTGCCTTAGTTGGGGTTTCTGTTGCTGTGAAAAGACACCATGATCAAGGCAACTCTTAAAAAGGAAAACAGTTCATTGAGATGGTGAAAGAGATAAACTGAACTCAAAGACTTCACTGCTAATAAATCAACTGGGGAGAAATTGTATAAATGTGGCAAAGCCTTAAGTTCCCATTCAGCTCTTTTTTTTTTTTTTTTTGGTTGTTACGAGACAGGGTTTCTCTGTATTGTTTTGGAGGCTGTCGGTCCATCCCGGCCCCGAACTCACAGAGATCCGCCTGCCTCTGCCTCCCGAGTGCTGGGATTAAAGGCGCGCGCCACCACCGCCCGGCCCCATTCAACTGTTATTATTCATACAAGAGAGAAACCATATAAATGTAAAGGTTATAGGAAAGTCTTCAAAACAAATCCAGTCCCCTAGTTCTTGTGTTGTGTTCCTCTTTCTTAGACTTAGTAAGTACCTGGATATTGTGTTGAGCAACAAATAAAGCCATAGAAACCACAGAATGCTCCCTCCCAGCACCAACCAATGAGAACAGGCTACCTGCAAGTAACAGACAAAGCCATAATTACCCAAATTAGCTCTCCAAATGTCAGCCAATCAGGATCTGACCCATACCTACTGATGTTACTCTATGATTTTTTTTTCCTTTAAATTCTGACAATAGACAAGGGACTTTGCTCCCTCTGGAGGCTGCTGCGTCAGCCTGCTAGAGGGAGTTCCTGCCAATAGGATTAAGCAATAAAGCCTTGTATTTGCAGTTTGGTGAATTCTGTCTTCCTGGTGGTTGCTGGGGTTCTTGAAGACCTGGGCACAACAGTGGCAGCTTACAGTTCTAGAGGTTCAGTACGGTATTATCATGATAGGGAGCATGATACATGCAGGCAGACATGGTACCGGAGAAGTACCTGAGAGTCCTACATCTTGCAGGTAACAGGAAGTAAACTGAGACACCAGGTGGTATCTTGAGCATAGGATACCTCAAAGCCCACCTCCATGGTAACACACTTCCTCTAACAAGCCATAACCACTCCAACAAAGCCATACCTGTGAGATTATGGGAACCAATTACATTCAAACTAACACAAACTCTGCCTTGAAAAACAGCAAAACAAAAAAGAAAAACCAAACGAGACCTAAGAAACTAGATGTAAGAAGGCAGAATTCTCAGACTGGAAGCAGATAACCTCATAGGATCCTGTTTGTATCACAGAACTCACAAAAGGCTCAGCAGTTGTTATGAATGTAATTGTAAGGAATATTATTTCCCTAATGTACACATAATGTGCTCACTAAAATTAAATAATGTGACCTGGCTGGTCTTGAACTCAGAGATTCGCCTGCCCCTGCTTCCCGAGTGCTGGGATTAAAGGCGTGTACCACCAATGCCTGGCTTAGTTTTTAAATCTTGCTCAATAATAATATGTACTAATGATGACAAGTAAATATAACCCATTAGATTTAAATTACTAAAACCCATTTTTTTTTTGTGGAAACAAAAGCATAATTTTTTTCTCAAACATGATATATCTTTGACTTTTAAAGTTAAAGCTTCCTAAAGTATACAGACTGGCAGAGTTTAACTTTTTTTTAAAGATTTATTTATTTATTACATATACAGTGCCCTGCCTACGTATCAAAAGAGGGCACCGGATTGAATTGTAGATGATTGTGAGCCACCATGTGGTTGCTGGGGATTGAACTCAGAACCTCTGGAAGAGCAGTCAGTGCTCTTAACCTCTGAGCCATCTCTCCAGCCCCCAGAGTTTAACTTTTTTTAAAGCAGTATCCAGACAGAGAAGCCGCTGGCCTGCAGAAGAGACCTTGGTGGTCATCACAGTGAAGAATAGTTTGGCTTAGGAGGGAAGGGAGTGGGGAGCAGCGCTGGTTGGCACAGAGTGTCCTTGGCTGCCAATGTTTCTGAAAGAAAAAATATTTTTTAACTTCTGCAGCCACAATCCCAGATTCTCTATTTCACATCCTTCCATTGGGTCAGGAAGGTGTCTGTCCCATGTTAGGTTGAGCACGATCAACGTCCATACAGCCAATACCATCAAGACAAGACAAGCATGGCGCTTAGACAAAGACTTTCAAGTTTCAGATTCACAAACGGGAGTCAAACTCCACAGCAGCTATTTCAGAAATCGCAAAAGTACAACTTGTATTTAAAAATCCTGACGGGGCAGCCCCCAGTGGGCCCCCTCCACACAAGGAAGGAGAACGTCTCCTGAGCCTTCTTCCAGATCTGACCTTCTAAGCATGTCTCCCAAAGTCTTCTTGATCTGTTTCTTACAGTCTCAAATTGTCCACTAGCAAACCAAAAACGGAAAAGAACTAAGTCACAGGAACCTGAGAAACACAGAACCCTATGCAGCCTTTGGGGGGATCCCAGACGAGCCCCCATATGTTATGCCAAGTTCGTGAGACCCCAGAAAGACCACTAAGGAGCCGGCTCACTGATGTAAGCAGATAAGGTTTGACGTCACAAGCCTCGGCAGGGACCCTGTCCAGCAAACTGGCAAAGCAGCTGCAGGAAAAGGGTCCTGGCCTCAGTTGCAAGGGGATTGATTATAAAGGAGAAAACCACAAGCAGGGTGGTGCGTGCCTTGGCTGTTCAGGATTGGATTCACTGATGTGGGGGCTATGGGAATTCATATTTTTGGCAGTAAAACCTGTTATTTTACATGTTTTCATTGGTTGTCTATGGTTTTGGGGTTGCACCGTGACCTTTTCACCTTTACTGGACGTGTTCTGTTTTTGTTTTTGTTTTTTTTTAATTTCCTTGGAACAGGGTGGGGCCAGGTAACTTGGAGGTCAAGGGGGGATTGTTGAGGCTTCATCTAATTTTTAACCCTTTCAATAACAATTTGAGTGTTCCCCAATGCCACAAGATCAGGTGGCAGGACTGCTGTGGCTGTTCCAGGCTCTAGAGACTCTGGTTCATGGGCCGTGGAGGATGTAGTGTCAGAATGCTGCTGTGGCTGTCCCAGGGTCCCACGAGACGTAGTGACCCGCGTCCCTGAGACGTAGTGCCACAGGACCTCTAGTGTTAGCTTTGTAAAACCAAATTATTTCCCCTGGTACCTATGTCCAGTAAAACTTTTGTACAACTGAAAAAAGAAATCAGTTACTATGGTCAGTATATAATCTTATCAATCATGAGCTGTATAGTTTTATGTATAAATATCATTTTATATATGTATATATAAGATTTCTAATCTTTGAAGCTACATTATTTTGTATTTAAACAATTTAAGCTACAGTGGTTCGGGGCTCAGATATCAGACTTACTTGTGGATAACACAGCTATAACCCCCCTCCCCCTTCCCTCCCGCCTTTCCTTCCCTCCTTTCAGATTGCAGGCCTGAATTTGCCTCTTCCTCCCAAGAAACTGATTGGAAACATGGACCGTGAATTCATAGCCGAGAGACAGAGAGGCCTGCAGAACTACCTTAATGTCATCATGGCAAATCACGTCTTGTCCAATTGTGAGCTTCTTAAGAAGTTCCTAGACCCAAACAACTACTCTGCAAACTACACCGGTAAGAAACAGGGTCCGTGAGGTGCTGTCAAGTGGGGCCGCCCTCGGCAAGAGCCTATTGGAGAAGTGTGCACATTTGTAACAGGGTCGTGTTTCTTTGCAAAGACTTGCTTGGTTGTAATTTTCTAGACATTTATAGGAGGAACTCAACTTCCTTCCAGAATGTTTGTGGTGCCTATACAGAAAAAAATGTAGAAGGGAAACAGTGTGTCTGTGTGCTTCTGGTCTGCCTATAATCATCTTCTCTTGGGAACAGAGCAGGCAACCAACCCACAGTTGTACACAGAGCAGCCTCAATCTGATTTGTGTCCATAGTGTGTAACGTGTCTGCCTTTTCTTTAAATCGTCTTTAACTGTGGTGTCGACTCAGAAGTGTCTTCACACCTCCTCCCTGAGGTTCTCGTGTGCCTTGCACAGAGGGTGGCTCCCCAGGATCAGGGCTTTTGCCCCCCTACTGCTTACTCACAAAGTCAGCATCAAATACCCGAGCCTCATGTCAGCAGAAAGAAGAACTTAATACCTACTTCACGCTGGTGTGACCTTTAGGGGCCATTAAAACTACTGTACACCTGCCCTGATAACAAATTGTTTAAAGCCAAGCTATGCGTTAAGGCTATCCAAACAGAACTCTAGTTGTTAAGGGAATAGATTCTGTTATTGGGACTTTAAAACATTGTTTTAAGCCAGACTCATTCCTGTAGCTCTAGCACTTGGGAGAAGGATTACCATCAGTTTAAGTAAGAGCATCCGACGTCATACAGTGAGTTCCAGGCCAGCTTGGGCAATAAAGTGGGATGCTATTTCAAAAATGCCCAACAAACAAAAATTACTGTATTTGAATTAACGGGAGACTCCTCTCATTCCTGTTTGGAAGGTGGGGACTCCTCTCATCCTGTTTGGAAGGTGGAGACTCCTCTCATCCTGTTTGGAAGGTGGAGACTCCTCTCATCCTGTTTGGAAGGTGGGGACTCCTCTCATCCTGTTTGGAAGGTGGGGACTCCTCTCATTCCTGTTTGGAAGGTGGGGACTCCTCTCATCCTGTTTGGAAGGTGGGGACTCCTCTCATCCTGTTTGGAAGGTGGGGGCTCCTCTCATCCTGTTTGGAAGGTGGGGGCTCCTCTCATCCTGTTTGGAAGGTGGGGACTCCTCTCATCCTGTTTGGAAGGTGGGGACTCCTCTCATCCTGTTTGGAAGGTGGGGACTCCTCTCATCCTGTTTGGAAGGTGGGGACCTGGGCGCCTATTTCTTTCGGGCACCGGACCCTCCCCGTGCTCAGGCTGCGTGCCTGTCAGCCAGTCTGTGTGGAGTCTGTGGGGCTCCCGGGTCTTATGCAGCTGAATGTGTCTGCTCACAGTGAGGTTCTCTACCCGGGTACAGTTGGTGTCTCGGGACCTTGTCCAAAGAGCCGGATTGAGTGTGATGAGCTTCCGTGTGCTTGCCGTCTTCTAGAGCATGTCGTGCAGGGCTGAGGAACATGCTTCCCCAGAATCTAGCCAAGAAAAGTCATGTGCATCACAAAGTCTAGCATTGTTCACTTACAAGGATTCAGTTCTTTCCTTCTTGGTCAGAAGCCTGTAGACCCTGGGCTGGAACTCAGAAGAGCTTCGCTCTGTCACTGCCTTTTGACCCTTTTGTTTCTTGCTCTGAGTCTCACCTTGACTGCTCCAAAGTTGTCAGCCCGTCTTCTGGATGGCTTTAATGACTCAGCTCAGCCCTCTCTATGTTTTGTCAGCATTGTCTGCTGAGGACGTCTGCTGATGGCCTCTGTTCAGCCGGCATCAGTGACATGTCATACCATGTGCCAGGGTAGGCACGAAGCACACGCCTTCCTTGTATCCAGAGAGCTTGGACCAGAGAGGGGCCATTCACATGGGGGGATACCAGAAGGCATCTTAGAGCTGTCGTATCACGATTAACTGTGCGTGCGTGTGTGTGTGTGTGTGTGTGTGTGTGTGTGTATGTGTGTGTGCAGAGAGGGGCCATTCACATGGGGGGATACCAGAAGGCGTCTTAGAGCTGTCGTATCATGATTAACTGTGTGTGTGTGTGTGTGTGTGTGTGTGTGTACAAATTGTATGTGTGCATATGGAGGCCAGAAGCTGATGTCAGGTCTCTTTCACTCTCCACCTTGTTATTTTTAAGACAGGGTCTCTCACTGAACCTGAAACTTGTCATTTTCCTGGGCTGCCTCCACAGCACAGGGTTTCAGTGCACTGGTCAGTGCCTCTAAGTTTTCACATGGGTGCTTGAACTCAAACTTGGGGTTCTCATGCTCACATGGTAAGCCTTTTACTTAATGATTCATCTCTTAGCCCCAACTGTCTCACAGATAAGGATGCTTAGGCCAGAGTCTAAGGAGCTCCGCAGGAATTGGTACCCGAGTCCAAATCTGCCCGAGTCTAGGCTCTGTTAGAGGCCTGAGTCCTGAGATGAGACAGTGGCTGAGGAAGCGGATTTATTTCCCCTTTGAATGAAGTATCAAATGAGGTTTGCCAGAGGCCTCAGAAGAGGGAAGCGCGGGTTACTTCCTCTTGCCAGCCTGGGCGGCCCACTCCTGGGCCTTGCAGTATGGCCCTGGCTCCTTCTGACTCTGCTCACCGCCACCCACACAGCATTCTGTCCCTCTCCACACAAGGCCAGATCTCCCTTCAGATGCGACCCATGCCCTTGCCTCTTCTCAGCTTCCGAATTATCACATTATTGCCCTCTTCAGCAAGATTTGAATGCGGTGTTGGAGTGGTGGCCCAAATCAGCATAGCCGCTTTTCCTTGTGTGTAGCACACTGACTGGGACCCGTGTTTGTGAGGGACTCTATTGCCAACTGAGGCCCAGGGGTGGGCAGCCAGATCCCCTAAGACATCAGCAGCTGTCCCCTGTCCTTCCAGAGGCTGCAGTCTGCCCAACCTTTTACTGTTTTTTGTTTTGTTTTGTTTTGGTTTTGGTTTTTCTAGACAGGGTTTCTCCGTATTGCTTTGGAGGCTGTCCTGGAACTCTCTCTGTAGACCAGGCTGGCCTCAAACTCACAGAGATCCACCTGCCTCTGCCTCCTGAGTGCTGGGTTTAAAGGCGAGCGCCACCACCACCCGGCCCTTTTCCTGGTTTTATCTAAATTACTGACTATAAAGGTAAACGCATACATGTACCTTAGAGGCTGGGGCAGGGAGGAACAGTTCCCTTCTTGTCCTAAAACTTAGAAACCCCTCGACTAGTGGTTGGGAACGGGGGTCCCGGTTAAAGATTGTGTTTAAAGCAGAGGCAGGATGCTCTGGAAGGAATGCAAACTGTAAAGCCCAGCAGTAGATTGGGGGTCACGACTGCCCCCTGTAGGGCTGGAGGAGTCAATGTGTGTTCCCTGAAGTCAGTCCATGGGGCACAGAGGGAGACCTGGTACCTCTGAGTCTACGGAAGCTGGAAGCCAGGAGCTGTAGGATGAACTGGGGGCTTCTGTCTCTTAGCACTTACCTGAGGAGCCATTGTCTGTCAGGACTAAAGAAACAACATTTGCGGGGGAGGGTGTTTCTCTGGAGCCTTGGCTGGACTTGAACTCACAGAGATCCACCTGCCTCCCAAGTGCTGGGATTAAATATTAAATGTGTGTGCCACCACCACCCAGCTAAGAAACAATAATTTTATTTTATTTTATTTTATTTTGCGTGGATGTGTTTTTTCAAGACAGGTTTCCCTGTCCTGAAACTCGCTCTGTAGACCAGGCTGGCCTGGAACTCAGAGATCCGCCTGCCTCTGTCTTCCAAATGCTGGAATTAAAGGCATGCGCCACCATGCCTGGCTAAGAATCAACGATTTAAAAAAAAAAAAGGAAAATGTAAAACAAATCCTCTAAAAGAGAAGAAAGTAGAAAGCCGATGGGTTCCTTTGGGGAGGGGCTCTGCGTGTTCCAATGGCTCTTCCTAGCGGGAGGCCACACCTCCATAGGCCATGTGCTGACTCTTGTTAGCTCTCCATCGAGTAATAACTGAGCGGCATTGCGTATGCCAGGTGCGAAGTGCAGCAAGCCTCATAGCACTTACGCGGGGTAAACAGGGTTAGAAGGTGCACCAGGCTTGGAGATGGAGGCCAGTGGGGACAGCAGGCGTGGCGCCAAGGGCCAGCACTCCAACAAGAGCCCAGGGTAGGGGGAATTACCTCAGTTAAAAGATGTCCTGCCAGCCAGAGTTTTACAGCAATGAAGAGAGCAGACCTAATTCAGGACATGCAGGGTCCCTGAGAGGGACAGATGCCCCGGACGTGTGTAAGGAGGAGGGGTTGGGGGTAGATTTGAACTCAGCCTGAAGCTGTAGCTGGTTCTTGTGGAAATGCTGGTGCTGGGGCAGGAGAGAGGGATTGTGGGAGTCAGAGCTCAGTGTGGAGGGTGAACCAAACCTTACGGGCCATGAGGCTGAAGCCGGCTGGACTCGTGCTTTAGCAGCTGGGCTTTGGTTGGGTAAGGAAGCCCGGCTGGTATGGGCTTATATGCAGAGAAGTTTAGGATTGATGCTGAATCTGGGAAGAGAGGGCATTAGTATCAGTTACCATGCAATTTTTTTTATGTTAAACAACAGTTCAGTGAAAAGAAAAACTTCTTTCTCGAGCTCTCTGACCACCAGAGTCTAAGATAGAGCCAGTTTTGCATTTTGTAGTTCTGTGTTTCCTTGGGATATGTAGGGTACACCTTGCATAGTGAGTCAGTAAACAAGCAGCCAACTGTCGTCTCCTGCAAACTTCTTCACTCATAGCGTTCTGTGAAATATGCAGGGACGATGTTTGCCAAGCTCTCAGTGATTCCAGGAGAGAATGTTGGTTTTTTGGTCTTTTTTTGGTTTTTGTTTTGTCTTGTTTGCTTGCTTGCTTTTTCTCAAGACAGGGTTTCTCAGTGAAACAGCCCTGGCTGTCCTGGAATTCACTCTATAGACCATGCTGGTCTCCAACTCAGAGATCCTCCTGCCTTTGCTGGGGTTAAAGGTGTAAGCCACCACCGCCCAGCAAGAATGTTTTGACATGTGGAAAGAATTGTTGGTGAGTCCAGGCCTCACCAGTCTCTTCGGAATGTAATTAACATGAGGCAGAGGTGAAATTCCATGGTGTTTTTGAAGACTGCTATTTGCTTTCCGGGATCTGGAGTGGCCTCACTTGCTGATGAAATGGTATCCTGTAATGCTATTTGGAGGAATGTACAAAGCAGTTATTCTGATAGTTTCTTAATACAGTGAACTTGAAGGAACTTCCTCTTTTCATTGTCTTTGTTAAAGGGGAAACATTTGAATGATAAATGAACAACAAAAAGAGGATTTAAAAAATGTGTGAAAACAGGCACTCTGTATCACACCACAATTGAACCATGTTGTTGTGAAGGTCTTTTTGAAATGCTGGCTCTCATTCCAGCTTATACTATGGCCAGTCATGTCTTTGTTTGTGAAAGCTGTAATCCCACAAGGAATGAAGATTGGATAAATACCACTTAGAACATGTTGTTCCTTATGACCTTAAAATGCTTTCTGAATCTTGAGCTTTCGTCATGACCTGATTAAATTACTGGTTTAGCCAGCTAGTTTACATACTTCAGGTTTCCTAGTTTTAAAAAATATGTATGTTTCCACATGATTAGTAATCTTATGTTTGCTCCTTAATAGTCCTTTAATTTTGGAGTAATTTTAGGTTTATGGAGAAATTGCAGTAATACTTTTTATTGTTTTTTGGTTTTTTGAGACAGGGTTTCTCTGTGCCTTGGAGGCTGTCCTGGAACTCGTTCTTGTAGACCAGGCTGGTCTCAAACTCACAGAGATCCGCCTGCCTCTGCCTCCCGAGTGCTGGGATTAAAGGCGTGCGTCACCACTGCCTGGCTAACAGTAATGGTTTCTATAGATACCCCTCACCTGTAGCATCTGATGTAACCATGGCTCTTAACTGGAATTAAGAAAGCACTGTTGGTACATTACCATTAAACTCAGGCATTATTCAGCGTCCATCAGTTTTCCCAGGGTCTGTTCTAAAAGCCTACATTATTTTTAATCTTCCCTTTCTTATCATGAGTTTTTTGTTTTTGTTTGTTTGGTTTTTCTAGACATAGTTTTACTGTGTAGCCTTGGCTATCCTGTAACTCTGTAGGCCAGGCTGGCCTCAAACACACAACCACCTGCCTCTGTCTCCCAAGTGCTGGGACTAAAGGTGTGCACCACCCAACCTTGATCAATCTTTTTTTTAAGGAAGTCTGTAGACTGCAGGAAGTTCATTTGCATGAGCCGTATGTCAAGCCTTTGGTCTTTACTAACCATCTGCCTATGGATTTCTACAATGCCGTTACAGAGATCGCCTTACAACAAGTTTCCATGTTCTTCCGATCGGAACCCAAGTGGGAGGTGGTGGAACCCCTGAAAGACATAGGTGAGAGACTACGAGCCGTTCTGCTGGTGGAGCTGGCTGCATCTCCCCAGCGGAGTGGCGCGCTGTACACACACACACACACACACACACACACACGCACGCACGCACGCACGCACGCACGCACGCGCGCGCTGCTGGAAGTACTGTCCTTAACGTTCAGTGCCTGTCAGCCTTGTTAAAGCCCCGGCAGTGGACTAGGGTGCTGCTCATTTCCAGAACCTTCGTGCATGCTTCACTGGTCATTTTCAGAAGGCCTAGACTGAAGTGCTGTTTAGTTAGCTTTTTCATGAGTGTAGTAAGTTCTTTGCTTATTGTTTTACTGTATAGCTTTTCTATCCAAACATTGTTAAGTGGTTGGGCCCTGCATAGTTGTGGCTAAGATTGCTCAATGTACTTTTGATTACCACTTAGTCAATAAAATTTGCATCAGCTGTTGCAAAACTGCTGAAACTGTAAGTAACTTTGTGCTTCTGTGGCAGGTTGGAGGATAAGGAAGAAATATTTCCTGATGAAAATTAAAAACCAACCAAAGGAACGACTAGTGTTGAGCTGGGTAAGCTAATTCTTTTGCTGTAGTTTTTTTTTTTTCCAAGAGATTAAATAATACATGAAAGAGAGTTTTTTGTTTTATTTTGGTTTGGTTTGCTTAGGGTTTCATTGTGTAGACATGACTGTCCTAGAAATCACTGTGTAGACCAGGCTGGCCTCGAACTCACAGAGACCCTCCTGATTCTGCCTCCCAGATGCTGGGCTAAGGGTGTGCGCCGCCATTATGAAGGAGAGTTTTGATAAGAGGCTTTCAGAACTGTGCCGTGCTCTTACATGGTGATATAAGGACTTTCTCAGTCCCACGTCACGGAGGGCTGTTAGAATCCCCTGGTCAATTAATAAATGTACAGATGGCTGTAGGGACAGCCTGGAATTAGGACTGACAGCTTTGGAGTGACCTCCAAAGAAAGCTCTTGGGCATTACCTCATCCTTTTCTCTGGGAGTTCTAGTGACGCATTTGTCTATGGGATTAGCTGAAACCCCAGTCATACCTGGTGTTCGTATGTGTTCATACTACCTCTCCAGAAAAGGCCTTGAAGCAGCAGACTTAATATGGTTTCCGTCTTAGATTTATAGTTAAGAATTAGGGGAAAGGCATAAGGAAGTTTTCTTTTGGTGAACAAAGTGTTGCATACTCTGATATTTCTTGTATTTCCAGGCTGATCTTGGCCCAGACAAGTACTTGTCAGATAAAGATTTTCAGTGCGTTATCAAGCTTCTGCCTTCCTGTGTGGTAAGTACAAGTCCTGCTGTTCTCATTGTTTATCAGAGTCAGCGTTTTCTTGGGAGTGAATCTGGGTAGAATAGCTGGAAATGCCCTGTAGACTCAAGAAAATGGAGAGTACAGTGGTTTTTAGTTCAGGCTAGAAGTATGCAGGGTTACCTCCATAAATCAGAGGTCCTTTAAGCCAGTGCTTGTGACATATTCATAGCCCAATAATTGTAATAATTTAAATGTAGTCTTTGTGTTTTAATCAACTACCAGAATAGGAAAGAGGTACTTGTCTGAACCTCTTGTTTTTTTTTTTTTTTTTTTTGTTCCTGTTTTGTTTTTGAGACAGGGTTTCTCTGTGCAACAGAACCCTGGCTGTCCTGGAACTTGCTTTTAGACCAGGCTGGCCTCAAAGAGATCCGCCTGCCTCTGCCTCCTGAGTTCTGGGATTAAAGGAGTGCACCACTAATGCCCAGCTGTGAGGCCGACTTCTATAGAGGTGTGATTGGCCTTGAGTTCAGTTGATTGTACGACAGGCTTTCAGCACCCAGATTTGTGTTGCAGTTTGTAGTAACTGAGGTTGAACTCAGGTCTTTGTATGTGTCAGGCAGATGCTCCACCGCTGAACTATGCCCCAGATTGGCCTTGAACTCACTCTAATCCGGGCAGGCCTTGAATGTGTGAGTGTCCTCCCCCATCTCTTAGGCATGTTGTTATGGGCCTGCACCACCAGGCCCAGTTAGCACCCAGATTTAAATTACTTTTAATGGATGTTTAGAAACAAAAACAAAAACAAGAAAGAAGGGACTGGAGAGGTGACCTAGAGGTTAAGAGCACTTGTTCTTAGAGAGGACCTGGGTTTGATTTCGAGCACCATCATGAGGGTTCACAATCATCCATAATTTCGGTTCTAGTGGATCTGTCACCCTCTTCTGACACCCTCTGTGGGCACCAGGCACATATGCAGTACGCATACACACCTGAAAGAAAAACAGTCATGCACATAAGATAAGATAAATCTAAAAAAATTAAAACAATAACAACAACATACCAGTATTTGGGAGGCAGAAGTAGAAGAGTTATAAGTTCAAGGCCAGCCTGAGCTTCCTCTCAAATAACAAAACAATCCTGACCCACAACATAGTGCATGTAAGAAATAAACATTAGTTGGGCTTGGTGGCTCAGTCCATAAGCAACTCCTTGTAGAATATAGACAACAGGTAATGGATATCAACATTAACATTTGCAGGCCAGACCTCAGACATACTGTGTGTTTGTGATAATGTAAGCCAGTCTTGGATTAGGACTGTCTATTAGCATAAGTCGTGCATGTTTCCCTAAAGGCCATCTGGTTAACCTGAGACTCACCAGGTTACCTAGAGCCTGAGGAGTTAGTCTTTTTGTCCACGTATCCAAAGTTCCAGGTTATAGGAAGACTTTTAGGTCTTTAAAGAATTTGTCTTTCCCTCACTTTGCTTGGTTGGCATTAGGGTCCCCATGGGAGGAAGACATTGACTAGGCATACTGTAGACTTCTGTAGGAGGTCAGAGAAGTTCATGTTCCTGCCTTCTGAAAAGGTCAGGCTGTTAGAGCACACTGCTCCCTGCTTGGTGTTGGTCTCCTGCTCAGCTGCTCCGTGACTTATCTGTGTTCTTTATCAAGTTACATTTCCCCAAAACCCCCACCCTCTGCCTCTGCCACCATGATTTTGCAGGAACTCTGTGGATGCACACAGCAAAGAGAAACCTTCCCTGAGGAGCCTTTCACAGCAGACTTCATACGAGGGGCTTAGCCAAGCAGAGTTCTGTGTAGAGCTTGCTAGGTCATGTCTCTCCATCTTTCTCCCATCTGAGGGAGGAGCTAGTTGATCATCTAATAACTTGAGAGTAGCATGTGTTCTGGGCATGTCACTTTGTACGAAACTAAACCTCCAACTTGGTGCTTGACCTTGTCTAAAAGAACCCAGATCCCAAAGTGAACCAACCTGAATTTCTGTTTTGTTTTGGCAGCACCCTTACATATATCGGGTTACCTTTGCCACGGCTAGCGAATCCTCAGCATTGCTGATTAGAACCTTTAATGAAAAAGGAACGTTGAAGGATCTGATCTACAAGGTACTACTTACAAACCAAATTCATGTTTATAAAGTTCTTCAGTCCCTTAGAACCTGTTATTGATACTTGATATATAAAATTCCAGAAGCTAGACCTCATGAATTTTTTAAAAATTATTTTCTTTGAGATTATATCATTTCTCCCTTAAGGCCCATGAATTTAATTTTAAGTTTTAAGTTTTAAGCAGAGCATGTAGGTACACACCTGAAATCTCAATTCTGAGGAGGCTGGGACAGGAGGATTGCAAGTTTTAGTCCACCTTAGGTTACATAGTGAGACCCAAATCAAAATCTTAAAACAGACAGACAAAAATTTAAATCTGATTTTGAAAAACGACCTAGTTTGGTTAAGAGCCTTCCTTCACCCACGAGAGAAGATGGACGGACATCTGTTACACAATAGACTGCTCTGTTGCTGAGTTTCAAAGTTGGTATTTTGCATTTAACAAAGCAGTCCTGAAGAATTCGTTACTAGACAAGACTTTGGGAACTGCCTAGGGTGAGACCAAGTATGTAGTCCCTCAGATACAGAAGAAATAGAGCCTAGATCAGCCTCTTTGTCTCAGCCACAAACTACTGGATTAACACAGCAACAAACCCCACATCGTGTGTGATGGGTTCCCTGGCACCTTCAGTCTCCATGGAGTCTTACTTACCTTTTCAGGGAGGCCCTGGTAGAGATTTGCTCCTCTGTTACTACTCTATGTGTTCTTGGTTCCTTTCTAAAGGCAAAACCAAAGGACCCCTTCCTAAAGAAGTACTGCAACCCTAAGAAAATCCAGGGCCTTGAACTCCAGCAAATAAAAACATATGGACGGCAGATATTAGAGGTAAGAGCTATGTTTCATCCAGAATTACAGTTTTGTTTTGTTTTTTTTTTTTGGTTTTTCGAGACAGGGTTTCTCTGTGGCTTTGGAGGCTGTCCTGGAATTACAGTTTTTTTTAAAGATTTATTTTATGTGTGTGTGTATGTCTCCCACATGTGTGGTGGCCTCTGTGGAAGTCGGAAGAGGGTGTCATCCCCTGATGCTGGAGTTACAGGTGGTTGTGAGCCATCTAGCAGCGGTATGAGGAGCTGAACTTTGGTCTTTGGAAGAACAAGTCATCTTAACTGCTGAGTTTTTGTTTTAAAGATTTATTTATTAATTATACATAACAGTGTTCTGCCTTCAGGCCAGAAGAGGGCACCAGATCTCATTACAGATGGTTGTGAGCCACCATCTGGTTGCTGGGAATTGAACTCAGGACCTCTGGAAGAGCAGCCTCTGAGCCGTCTCTCCAGCCTCTGAACCATTGATTTCTGTAGCCCCTCGGATGACAGTTTTCTTATGGGAAGTTTCTCAGGCAATATCCAAAAGTAGAGACATTGTCTTATTTTTCTGTAACTTGATGACATTACTATATTTTGCCCCAACAAGCAAAATTTGAGATGAAGGTGGCAGTAATTTAGATCTATAAAATTCCAAAAGTTTGGCTGTTGGGTTTGGTGTCTGACCTTTGTCAACTTTACTATGTGGATGTCACCTTTATCTCTGTACCACAATTAAAAAGAACTTCATTATTACTATTATATGAGTATGTGGGTGTGTAAGCCATGCAATATGTGAGACAGTATCAGAGGACGACTCTCTGAAGTAGGTTCCCTGTTTCCACCTTTGCTTGTGTTCCAGGGATTGAACTCAGATCATCTGCTTGGCCCAAGTTGTTTTTTTTGTTTTTTGTTCTGTTTTTCCTTTCTGAGAAAAAGTATAGCTCTGGCTGGTCTGGAGTGCTCTGACTTTGAACTCAGGATTCTACATGCTTCTTTTGGGGGAGGCCAGAAACCTACTTTGTATTTTTATTAATACAAAATTAATATAAAACCAAATATGTCCCACGTAGATGTTGAGCAAGAGATGTTCTCAGTTTACCCCTTCTCCCAAGTGAGTGGCAGAGACACTGATGCCATAGCTTCATGGGTACACGCTGGTGGGCTGGGCACTTCCTCAGAACAGAGCTGGCCTGCTGGGGCCAGAGAGTTCCCAAAGCAGAACCCTCTGGGGTCAGCTTTTCCCTCCAAGCTAATTCTCTTCATCCGGGAAAAGGGGATTTGGTGTTGTATCTGACATCGTCCTTTTTCCAAAGAAAGGATGATGGTAGCATTTTAACTCTTGGCTGAGGAATTAACTCCTAGCCTCCTGTATGATGAGGAAACTGCTATGGAGCTACATGCCCAGCTGAGAAGCTTTTTCCTTTTACATTTATTGACTTGCTTATGTGTAGGTAGGTGCATGCCACAGCACATGTGTGGAGGTCAGAGGTCACTTTGGGAGTTGGTTCTCTCTTTCCTTTATGTCTACCTCAGGGATTGGACTCAGTTTCAGTTTGTCAGATTCAGTGGCTACCTTTTACCCTAAGCCTTCTTGTCCCTTCCCCCATTATTTTTTTTTCTTTCTGTTTTTTGTTTGTTTTTGGAGATGGGGTTTCTCTTTGTAACCTCGCTGGCTATCCTGAAACTCACTCTGTAGACCAGGTTGACCTTGAACTCACAGAGATCTGCCTGCCTCTGCCTCCTGAGTGCTGGGATTAAAGGTGTGTGCCACCACCGTCCAGCCTCCCCAAAAATATTTAAAACATGAATTTACCTGATGGGGGAAGTCCTTCTGTATATATGTTTCTCTTATTGGTTGATGAATAAAGCACTGTTGGCCAATAAGGTAGGAAGAGAGGCAGGACTAGGAGAATTCTGGGAAAGGTAGGCAGGCTGCCAAAGGAGTAACAGGTCCAGGCATTCTCCAGTAAGTCAAGACCACATGGAAATACACAGATTAACAGAAATGGGTTAGTAATTAAGACAGCTAGCTAATAAGAAGTCCTAGCCACCGGCTAACAGTTTTATAACTAATATAGCGTCTGTGTGTTCATTTGGGGCTGACAGGCAGCAGGACCAGCCAGGACAAAGAACCTTGTTACATTTAACCTGTGTTATATGTGAATGAATCAGGAACAATTCAACACACACATATTTTTAATAGGTACTAAAGTTTCTCCACGACAAGGGGTTCCCTTATGGCCACCTCCACGCGGCTAATGTGATGATGGATGGTAACACCTGCCGGCTGCTAGATCTTGAAAATTCCTTGCTGGGTCTACCTTCCTTCTACCGACCCTACTTCACACAATTCAGGAAGATCAATGTAAGTCGTGACAGTCATGACAGGTCTGTGTTTAGGTACAGATTACCCTATGCATTGTGCAGTGAAAAAATATAGTTAGTGTCCCTTGTTCCCATTTCTTTCACGGAGCATTGTTGGATCTTTTAGAGGCAAAGATGAAATGGTAGATGGGACAAGGGAGTGAATAGAGTCATTGACTGAAAATGACCTGTAGCTTAAGTCGGAACAATGCCTCGTGAGCCTTTCAAAAAGGCTTTGGGGTCACACTGGGAACGGGGCTGCCCCTGAGCCTTGTTCCTCAGTGGAGGCCTGGGTAGGAGCAGTGAGAGCTAATGACTCTTTCTTCCCCAGACACTGGAAAGTGTAGATGTTCACTGCTTTGGACACTTACTGTATGAAATGACTTACGGACGACCCCCAGACTCCGTGCCTGTTGACTCCTTCCCTCCTGCACCATCCATGGCTGTAGGTCAGTACAGAGCTTGGGAGCAGGGTCTTCTGGGGCCTGGCAGTCTGCAGAGCTACTTAGCTCTCTCCAAAGCCCAAGGAAGACCCAGAGGGAGTTGTCATCTTCCACAGAGAGCGCACACGCCAGTGAACGTTCAGGCGGCCTGTGGTCTGTTCAGCTGTCTGAAGCCTTTGGCAAAACTTCTGTAAACTGCATTATAAGTTTGGAAGCAGGAGAATGGAAAGAGAAGCATGGCCAGCTTGGAATTTAATCAGAAGCAAGAGTGAGGGTCAGGCAACTTGACGTCAGACCTGAGGGTCTAGGCAAGTGTCAGAGTCCCATCCAAGCTGGAGTGGGGGCTGGAAGGAACTTGAGAGCAGTGACTAGAGTTCTTGAAAATAAGGGCTCCAGATCCTCAGGTAAGTGGGGTCAAGGAGCTGTCACAGCCTTTCCCAAGGAGACTAAGAACCAGAGGACAGATGAGGCATGAGGACTGATGTAAACTCACCTCAGTCACTCCCATCTACTGAGTGTCCAGCTCGGGGCTCAAGGCTGGAAGAAAGAGGGCCCCAAGTAGCTTTTGGAGCACTCTGCTTAACACATGCCAATCACCCGCCTCAAGCGTCACTGTGCCAAATGAGGCAGTGATTAACAGGTAACAGCCCCTGGGACTGTTGCCTGCTGAGTCTGACCAGTAGCCCGGGAGCAGCAGAATCTGGTCCCTGCTTCTTACAGCCTTGTGTTGAGTGATAAAGTATCAGCAGCTAGCACCCAAGCAGCAAAAGCTTTCAAGTTCAGAATCTGACTCCTGAGTGACGTTTGCTTCTCTCAAAGAGAGCAGCTGTATGAATACAGTCTTGATGCTTTCCACCTATCCTTGGGTGTACTTAGCTTTCTATCAGCATCTGTCAGAATCGAGACAGAGCCACTGGATGCAAAGGCAACAGGATTCTTTATTGCGTACACAGGCGCCTGCGGATGCTGCAGCCCTTCGGGAGGCTGAGCATGCCCGGCTAGATTTAATGCAGCTTATATAGGGTTTGGGGAGGCAGAAGCAGGCTCACAGAAGCAGATGGGTGGTTACAGGGCACGCCTCATTTACATATAGCTCGAAAGTCCCGAGGGACGTACAAGTGTGGTTCTCAATCAGGTCCGATATGCAAATGAGTTGTAAGACGTGGTACAGTCAACGGGGTACGAGTTGCCACCCACTTCTGTGATGTCACAGAATTTGAAATTTGCGCCCTGGAAAGGGTGTGTGTACATGGAAGTCAGATATCAGCGTTCCCCCTTCTCCTTCCTTAAATGGGTGGCTGAATTCCAGGTGCCTGACTGTAGTTATCCTGTTTGGCACTGGCTGGGTGGCGCCACTTGTGACCTGAATTTGAACTCTAGTACTCAGTACGAGCCTTAAAATGGCGTAACTGCTGCTAGCTGGTGGGAGGGGGGGGGTCTTTCAGTTTCTGAGGCATTTCTTTTGAGTCATCGAAAATGCCAGCATTTCCCATTACCCCCACATATGCCATCTGTCTGTATGTGAAGAGTTTTTGACACTGTCCTGATCAACCTGCAGACAGTTGTTGCAAAGAGATGTCAAACTTTTCCTCAGCAAGGGGATCTTTGAGAGTGTTCTGTGGAACTAAAATGTGTATCTGTTCATTTCAAGTGGCCGTGTTGGAGTCTACGCTGTCTTGTGAAGCCTGTAAAAATGGCATGCCTACCGTCTCCCGGCTCTTACAGATGCCGTAAGTCAATCATAAGCATTGGTTCTAATCTTGGTCACTGTGCTGAACCTTGGACCACTGCGCCTAGAGCCCAGTACCATGGTAAAGACTCAGCGGCAGTCCCTGCAGGGCTGAAGTGACTGGCTTACTGTGAGTCTCTCACAGCCTGACACCACAGCCTTGCCTGTGTCCTCTCTGCTCAGTCCGATTGCTGTCCTGGAAGGCCAGTGTCCTTTTCACGCGTGTCACTCTGCTTCAGGAAATACAGACGGAGGGCGCTCCCCAGCACCTCTCTGGTGACACTGCTCCAGCTACCATCTGGCCCCAGCTGTGTGTAGTTGGCACCTACCAGGGTTTGTTGGGCCTGCCCTCACGAGGAACCGGTCCTTGGGCTCCTGGGCTTTTGCCTGTTTATTTCGTCACTGGCCATTAAACTGCTAGCATGAACCAAACCTTGTGCCAACCTTTGTGTACTCAAGAGACCTCCTGTCAACAGAGTTTGAGGAGTTGGTGCCGGTGCCTCCCTAGGGCCTCTCCCCTAGGTACTGTTCCTTCATGGCGAGGCTAAGGGTGGTGTAACTGAAGTCAGACAAACGTGTGAGTGGATCTCAGCTTCACCCCTTATCCCGGCAGGCCCCGGGCAGGCTTCCCCAGCATGTTGAGAAGTCTCCGTAGCTCTGCCTGCTTTGTCTGCTAGCAAAGGTATTCAGGAAGTAGTAACAACAGCCCACAAGACGGGGGACAAAGTGAAGGCAGAGGCTACAACTAACTTCAGGGCCTTCCTTCCTTCCTTCTTCCTAGTGGTTACAGAAGCCCACTGTAGGTCAGGCTGATGAGCAGCAGCAGCAAGCCCTGTCCCTGGGTGTGACACAGCAGCGTCCACTAATAACAGTGTGCACGTGAGAAATAGGCCCACTTTGAAAACTGCGGCATTGCTGCGCGGTCTCCTGACTCAGAGTGCATTTAGTTAGGGAGCAGTGCGAGGCTGCTGTGCCTGAGTTGTACTTGGGGTTCCTTCCCCGGGGCGCTTTGCCTGTACTAGTGCCAGCATCGAGCAACTGTTCTGTCTTCTGAAACTTTCCACCCCAGGGCTTCAGCGTTGAAGGAAATGAAGAGGTGTGACTGTGTTCAGTGGAATGTGACGTCTGGAAGTCAGTGGATGAGTGGAAGGGGCGGGCCAGGACTAGGAAGGACCCTAGAAAAGGCAGCTATCTTTTCTGCATGGGCGGATCTTTGTCTTTATAAAAGAATTCTCAGCATTAGGATCACTTCACCGCTGGGCAGTGGTAGTGCACCCCTTTAATCCCAGCACTCAGGAGGCAGAGGCGGGAGGATCTCTGTGAGTTCAAGACCAGCCTGCTCTACAAGAGCGAGTTCCAGGACAGCCTCCAAAGCCACAGAGAAACCTTGTCTAAAGAACCAAAAAAAAGGGCTGTAGAGATGGCTCAGAGGTTGAGAGCACTGGCTGTTCTTCCAGAGGTCCTGAGTTCAATTCCCAGCACCCACATGGTGGCTCATAACCATCTGTAATGAGATCTAGTGCCCTCTTCTGGCCTGTAGGGATACAAGCAGACAGAACACTGCATACATAATAAATAAATAAATAAATCTTTAAAGAGAAGAAGGAAGAAAAAGGCCACTCAGCCACTTGGGCACTATCTAGGCAAGCCTTCCAAGCAGAGCACTTCATTGCTCCTCCTGCTGCTGTTTTTAATAACACCTTTGAGGAAAGACTTGAATCCAGAAACTGCCGCTTTAGATGGCGTATGAGAAGATTGTTTTTCTCTTAGATTCGAGTCATCACAATTCAAAATATACTAAATAAACTGCCTTCTCTTTCTTTTCTCTTCTCTTTTCTTTTTTTGGGTGTTTCGAGACAGGGTTTCTCTGTGGCTTTAAAGAACTCAGTCTGTAGATCAGGCTGGCCTTGAACTCACAGAGATCTGCCTGCCTCTGCCTCCCGAGTGCTGGGATCAAAGGCGTGCACCACCAACGCCCGGCTATAAGCTACCTTTTCTGAGGCAGAAAAAAATAGTTCTCTTTAGAAACATCTACTAAATATATTATTTGCAACATTTTGTAAACTAGTGTTTACCAAAGTTCTTGCAAGTATTACACTGCTCATAGTGTGGAGTACAACTGACCTGGTCCCCTCACTAATAGCACCTCTGAGGGCACAGCAAGTGATGTGCATACACCTCGGCTAACAAACGCTACCCTGGGCTGGGCTGGGCTGGGCTGGGCTGGGCTGGGCTGGGCTGGGCAGGGCAGGGCTGGGCTGGGCTGGGCTGGGCTGGGCTGGGCTGGGCTGGGCTGGGCGCCCCCCCCTTACCAGATTAAACCCAGGGCCTTATGCGTTTGTTTCTTTTCTTACAGATTATTCAGTGATGTTTTACTAACAACTTCTGAAAAGCCACAGTTTAAGGTAAAGCAAATTATATAAATTTTGGATTTGAGACATACATAAATTGGCTTTGCAAATTAATTAAAAAAATAACAAAAAGGTTTGTGACATGAAAAGTTGGGAAACAATCCAAATATCCTATAACTAGTTACTATTTTGATCATTTATAATGCAGGAAATTGTTTTGGGGATTACTTGTGTATTGTTAACAGATTTGCACAGCCTGGAGCTTGCAGCAGTGTTCTCGAGTCTGCTGCCCAATGCTGGGCTATAGACGTACACCACGCCTGGATATAGACATGCATACACCTGGATATAGACATACACCACACCTGGATATAGACATACACCACCACACCTGGATATATACATACACCACACCTGGATATAGACATACACCACCACACCTGGATATAGACATACATACACCACACCTGGATATAGACATACACCACACCTGGATATAGTCATACACCACCACACCTGGATATAGACATACACCACCACACCTGGATATATACATACATCACCACACCTGGATATATACATACACCACACCTGGATATAGACGTACACCACACCTGGATATAGACATACACCACACCTGGATATAGACATACATACACCACACCTGGATATAGACATACACCACCACACCTGGATATAGACGTACACCACCACACCTGGATATAGACGTACACCACGCCTGGATATAGACGTACATACACCACACCTGGATATAGACGTACACCACCACACCTGGATATAGACATACACCACGCCTGGATATAGACATACACCACCACACCTGGATATAGACATACACCACCACACCTGGATATAGACATACACCACCACACCTGGATATAGACATACACCACCACACCTGGATATAGACATACACCACCACACCTGGATATAGACATACATACACCACACCTGGATATAGACATACACCACCACACCTGGATATAGACATACATACACCACACCTGGATATAGACATACACCACCACACCTGGATATAGACATACACCACACCTGGATATAGACATACACCACCACACCTGGATATAGACATACACCACCACACCTGGATATAGACATACACCACCACACCTGGATATAGACATACATACACCACACCTGGATATAGACATACATACACCACACCTGGATATAGACGTACATACACCACACCTGGATATAGACATACACCACACCTGGATATAGACGTACACCACCACACCTGGATATAGACATACACCACACCTGGATATAGACGTACACCACCACACCTGGATATAGACATACACCACACCTGGATATAGACGTACATACACCACACCTGGATATAGACATACACCACACCTGGATATAGACGTACACCACCACACCTGGATATAGACATACACCACACCTGGATATAGTCATACACCACGCCTGGATATAGACATACATACACCCCAGGCCTGGATATAGACATACATACACCACACCTGGATATAGACGTACACCACGCCTGGATATAGACGTACATACACCACACCTGGATATAGACATACACCACACCTGGATATAGACGTACACCACCACACCTGGATATAGACGTACACCACCACACCTGGATATAGTCATACACCACACCTGGATATAGACGTACATACACCACACCTGGATATAGACATACACCACACCTGGATATAGACATACATACACCACCAGGCCTGGATATAGACATACATACACCACACCTGGATATAGACATACACCACACCTGGATATAGACATACATACACCCCAGGCCTGGATATAGACATACATATACCACCACGACTGGCTATAGTACGTGTATTTAAAAATTTTACCTCATAGAAGCGAAATGTATATGGGCCTGGAGAGAGGGCTCAGTAGTCAGGAGTACTGACTGTTCTTCCAGAGGACCCGAGTTCAAATCCCAGCCCTGCTGTCTGTGACTCCCGTCCCAGGGAACCTGCCACCCATGGCAAAACACTAATACACATAAAATAAAAGTAAATAAAATAAAAAAGGTGAAGTGCATAAAGTCATTATAATAATGTGGAAAGTGGTTATTATTTAGGCTAATATAAAGGAAGCAGTGGGATCTAGAAGACAGAGTGTAAACCCAAACACATAAATAAGGAAAAGTCTGGAAAGACGTCTCGGGAGAAGCAGCAGTATGGTAGGACAGTCGTGGGCTTTGACAGGAGCCGTTTGCTATTTGGGGCTGCGCCGTTCTCTCTGGTGGGGTTGCCCTTTACACCGCGGCATGGGAAGCAGCAGCTCCCCTGGCTCTCCCCTGCAGGTATGGAACTGCAGGGTTAGATAAATGGTCACGAGAGTGCTGGGAACCAAACCCAGGTCCTCTGTACGAACACTAGGTACTCTTGACCACTGACCCTTCACTTACGCCCAACTGTATTTCCTTCTTATTCTGGTTTGTTGTTTTGCAACAGGATCCTACCATGTAGCTCAAGTTGGCCTGAAATTTGCTGTCTAACTCAGGCTAGCATGGAACTCAAATTCTCCTACCTTGGCTTCTCAAGTGCTAGGATTAAAGGCATGTGCAACATGACCGACTTAATTTATGTTTTTTTAAATAGTAGCCATCATAATGGCTATGAAGGGATATGATACCATAATGTGGATCTGATTTGTATTTCCTCTGTGTTGACCATCTTTTTTAGCTGGTGAAAAGACCATTTGAGAAATGCAGAATTTAAAAAAATCATTTGTATATTTTCTTTGAAGAAGTTTCTATTAAAACCCTTTTCCCATTTTTATTTCTTTTTTAAAGAGTTAATTATTTATTATGTATGCATGCAGGCCAGAAGAGGGCACCAGATCTCATTACAGATGGTTGTGAGCCACCATGTGGTTGCTGGGAATTGAACTCAGGACCTCCGGAAGAGCAGCCAGTGTTCTTAACCCCTGAGCCCTCTCTCCATCCCCTGAAATATTTTAAATTTCATTGTTGGTGGTTTCCTTTGTTGAACAAAGTCTTAATTTTGATGAGTCCAAGTCATTCATTGTTTTATTTCATTGCCTGTGTTTTTGGTATCATGTCCAAGAAGTCATTTCAGCTGGGGAGGACGGTATGTACCTGTAACCCTGAGACAAGAGGGTCATTGGTTCAAGGCCAGCCTGGGCCACACAGTGAGACCCTGCCTTAAGACAAAGAGCCAGCGTGGACATGGCGGTGGCAAACACGGCCGCTGAGGGGCTGCAGCAAGAGGGTCAGCGTGCATTCAGGTTGCATGTGCTGCGGAGTCAGTTCAAGGCGGGTCTGCACAACCCCAGGAGACGCTGTCCCCAGAACAAAGGTAGACAGATGAATAAGTTCATTTCTAAGTAAAAAAGAAAATACTAGCCTGGTGGTGGTGGTGCACACTTGTAGTGCCAGCACTTGGGAGGTAGAGGCAGGCAGGTCTTTGTGAGTTCGAGGCCAGCCTGGTCTACAGATTGAGTCCCAGAACTATACAGAGAAACCTGTCTCAAAAAACTAAAATCTCAAAACAAAACAAAATTGACAGATCCAGCCACAGTGCCCCTTCCCTGCACTTTAGGAGTTCTTGGGTTTTAAGTATTACATTTAGGTCTTACACCGTGTTGAATTAATTTTCAGATATGACTTAAGATAATTTTACCACCTTTCATGCAGATATTTAGCCTTTACCAACACTCTTTTGAAGCCATTGTTCTTTCCTCGTTATGCATTTTTAACATTTCTGGGGAAGGCCATTGGCTGTGTACATGAGGGTGTGTTTCTGGAGTCTCCTATTCTGGTCTATTAGCTGTATAATAATTGGCTAGAAAGGAGGTTTTGTGAGGTCATGTAATAGGTTTTGGTGCCTTGTTTGTCCTTTGAGATTGCTTTAGCAATTCTGGAACCCCTTGGGTTACCCCTTGAAACCGTGTGTTCATGCTTTCATTGACCAGAAGCGCTGCTGGGGTGAGTGAAGCTGGTGTAGATGGAATGTGTGCTTTAACTGGTTTTGTTTTAAAGCACGCCTCGTGTGATAATGACTGCTGCTGAGTGTGTCCAGGACCCGGGAACTCCAGCCACCTCAGTCAGCAGCTCCTGTACTGTTCTCTTTCAGATTCCCACAAAATTAAAAGAGGCTTTGAGAGTTGCCAAAGAATGCATAGAAAAGAGACTCGTTGAAGAACAGAAGCAGGTGAGCTGACAGTAACCCTCATGCCCTATGGTCATTTGTGTCCCTGTCCCCTCCATGAGGTTCACCGTGATTGACTTTTGACTGGTCACTTGGCAAACATTGTGTGTGTAGTTGCTCTCGACCAGATTTTGGGCTGAGCGCTGTGACACAGAGCAGAATATCTTAGTCCAGCCCTCAGTCTGTGAGTAAACAAGCTCACGCTCAAGAGTGGTCAGCCTTCAGGATCGGGCGTTACTGGGGGAGTGGTTGGCCGCACTCATGAACCCCGTGTTTCTGTAGAGAGGTATAGAAAGGAATGGGAAAGTGAGACCTGTTTATCCGAACAGTTTGATGTGATCATACACATAGAAGACACATTAGGTCCTCCTGTAGGTAGAGTTTGCTGACACTTGTTGGGGATCATTGTCTCTTACAGATTCACCAACATCGAAGACTAACGAGAGCTCAGTCACACCACGGGTCTGAAGAAGAAAGGAAAAGGAGAAAGATCCTAGCTCGGAAGGTAAGCCTGTTGCCCGTGTTCTCTTTTTAAGTTCCTGACTGTATCCGAAGAAAATTCTAAAGCTAATGGTGCACACTTATGTTTTGTATTATATCTCCTTGAAAGCTAAAAGCACTTTCAGATGACTGGTTTGGAGACACACACACAGACACAGACACACTCACTCACTCACTCACACTGGTTTTCTTGGCCCATTAAGGCATAAAGTAATTGGAGGAAATGGTCAGCTTGGGTAGGGAAGTCGGCATTCTGGTTTTCTTTTCCCCTTGGTTTGTGGCTTCTCCACTGCAGTAGGTTCGGAAGCCGAGTGAGTACCCTTCTCTCTGTAGCTGTTAAACGGTCGATCTGGGATTTTTAACTCTCAGCTGAAGTGTGCCTTTGCTTTGCTCACAACCTACCTTCCTTTCTTTTAAAGAAATCCAAGCGGTCTGCCGTTGAAAACAGCGAAGAGCAGCCAGCGAAGCTCAGCTCCAACAACTCAGGTAACAGTGCCGGCAGCGCTTTGTCCCCAGTGGGACTGCGACAGCTCTCAGACGCCCAGCTCTGCGCCAGAGACACGGCCCTTCTCTCTGCGTACAAGGAAATTAGCCTAAATCTTGCCTTCTGCTCTGGAACCCATATGGCTGGAGGAAAAGAAGGGAGTTTTCAGTAACCCAGGCAGTTTCAGCCCTGGAGGGTGAGACAAGAGAAGGGGAAATTGAAGTTTAGCTAATTATACAACAAATTCTCTGAGTCATTAGGGAGTGATAGCCAGAGGCCTAGCCTTGGAGCTAGCGGGCTGGCAGCAGCCCTCCCTTGGGGGAGGTGCAGAAGTTCTGCTGTCTCTCCACCGGGCAGTGCCTTCCTGTTCCCAAACAAGAGGCCTCTGCTGTGGGCCTGCTCCCTCATTGAGCTGACGGGATATTTTCTAGGGATTTTCCAGCTACAGGGATTTTGGATTTTTTTTTTTTTTCTGAGACAGGGTTTCTCTGTGGCTTTGGAGGCTGTCCTGGAACTCACTCTGTAGACCAGGCTGGCCTCGAACTCACAGAGATCCGCCTGCCTCTGCCTCCCAAGTGCTGGGATTAAAGGCGTGCGCCACCAAGGCCTGGCAGGGATTTTGGATTTTGCTTATGGTTTTTACCCTAAATGAGGGTGCTTACTGAATTTCATAGAAAAAAGGTCTACAAAACCCACAGCCTTGGGACTAGCCTCTTTAACTGAGTGTACCTGCTGGTACGGTTGATCTTCAAAGGGTCATGCCTCATTTTCCTTGGTCAGTTCAGATAGGAAGATGTCTGCCTCCTCCTCCGGAGATACTGAGAAGCACACAGGAAGACTGAGCTAGGTGCGGTCACACACTGCCTGTAATTACAGTGCCCTGAAGGTCGAGGCTAGTTTGGGCTACTTAGCGAGACTGCCTTAAACACGAATGGATGATTGGGTGAAGCCCGAGTCAGGTGTAGTGGTGCATACATACCTTTAACCCCAGCACTTGCTTAGCAGAGTCTCCCCGTTGGTCAGTGAGCCTTAGCTGAGGGAAGCCCGTCAGCACTGGGTCTGATTTCTAAATTTTCTGTTCCTTCATCACATTGTTCTACAAAACATGCTGGGCTAAGTACAGATCCTCAGACAATGCTGAGTTTCTGCACTTGCCAAGTTTGAAACGTTTGTCTTTAGTCCCAGTGAGATCTGTTTTTCTTAGCAGGGTCTGGGGCCAGCTCACCCCTCACGTCTCCGTCGTCTCCAACTCCACCCTCCACAGCAGGTCAGTAACGTGCAAGGTGCTGTCTTCCTCCTCCCCACCCGCCGGGGTTAGACCCCACCCTCCAGAGGACGCACGCAGATGCAGAGCGTGCTATTGGAGGGTGAGGCTAGATTCCCAAGCTCAGTGTGCAGGGCGCCCCAGGCCTCTCTGGCTCAAGTGTGCTGTTTGCTGAAAAGCTTCTTGCAAGGCCCCGGGTCTGCTTGTCTTGGGGCAAAGCAAACACACTTGTCCTGGACGTTGTCCTCCAGTTTTCTCCTTCAGACCTCCCTGCTGTGGGTTTGTCACAGCAGAGCGGATGAGCTGCCTGGCACAGAGCGAAATGTCCCACTCAGTTTCCTGATAACCGCTTGTTCTCTCTGCTGCTCTGTAAAGCACAGACTTACCTGAGTCCTCATTAACCTTCGTTTCACCTCGTGAGCTAAATCACATACTGTGAGGGGTCTGGGGAGAAAATACTGACAAGGAATTGTCTTTGGGATTACTCACAAAAAACGATTCTGTGGAACACTCTCACAATGCTGTTCTCCATATTTCCTTTTTGAACCAAGACCTTTCTAACCATTTTGCAGCCCAGTAAAAACAGGGGCAGCACTTTTGCTTTTCTCCTTGAATGAATGATCATCAAGACTATCTGGGTGTCTAAGAAGCTGGTGCTTCCACTCAGAACTCGCTGCTGTCCTTGAAAGAGTTCCTCCAGCTGTTTGAAAGGGGGTCTTATGGCAGGGCTGGGGTATGAGCTGACAGTACCTTACTCTCAAATGCTTACACTATTGGCTGCCTTTAAATGACTCTGGCTAAGCCTCCTGGGGGGGAAAAAACAGGAATGCAACAGGGCTAGTTTGATTGGCTGTCTCCTTGCTGCCTGAGAGTGCTTGCTGTAGAATGTTCTAGGCCAGGGCCAGTGTTATAAAGCAGAAATGCCAGGTCATGGGAACGATTCTTTCGTCTCTGACTTTCTCAGCAAATTTTCCAAAGAATTCCTAAATAGACTTCAATTAATGTTTTTGTAACAAACAAAATTACTTCTAATTAACAGAGAAATAAGTTCAAAATGGTTAAAGCATGATAAAGGAATGAAACTTTACAAGTAATTTTCAGAGCAACATTCTAGACAAGTGAAAAATCACTGAAAGCCATGACTCAAACCACAGCTCAGACCCTGTCTTATGCAGGTTTTCTTTTTTCTGCTTTCAAATAAAATCTCTCCACAAACCATCATCATTTTTAATCTTCCCCAGATGTCGTTTTCTGACCCTTCATCTCCAGATTTCTCTAGTTGGGGCTTGTAGATGTCTTCTCTTGATAGCTTTCTGGTAATCTGGCTTTTAAAAGGCTCCTTGGGCCAGACAGATGGCTCAGTGTTGGTGATAAAGGTGTCTATTGCCAAGCCTAACAACCAGAGTTCTGTCTCTGGAATCCACATGATAGCAGAGAACCGACTTCTCCAAGTTGTTCTCTGACCTCCACACTGTTTGGCACATGTACAACACACACACACACACACACACGCACGCACGCACGCACGCACGCACGCACGCACGCACACGCACCTTTGCCCTTTTCATTAATATTCATGGCACTGCTTTCTAAGCAGTAAATTATTACCAGATTAGGATGGATATTATGGGAAGTTTTGAATCTGGAGAGGTTAAGGGGATGAAATGGAACATGGGCCTAGAGAATGATAGAGCATAAACAGGGCCTGGGAGAGTTACGAATTAATAGGGCTATGGATTTACAGCAGAGAGGAATGAACTTACTTAAGATGTAGAATCTGCCTGGATTAGTCAAGTCTGAAGCCAGTATACACTAAAATGTTTGCATCCAGCTTTAGCAGTTGTCTCTTCAGAAGCTACACAGAAGCCTGGTGCAGCATGCTAGTAATATTGGGAAGCTGAGGCCAGCGTGAGTTATGTGTCGTGGAAAAGCCCTAGGGCTGGCATGTAGCTCCCACCTGGGTTTGGCCTCTCCACCCAGTAAGTGAAGTTCCACACAAGCCGTGCGCTTTGCCGGGCAGGTGGCCGCCATGCAGGGCTGACCGTGGAAATGACGTGGTTCTACTCCCTGCTGCTGTGGTCTGCCCACTTCCCCAGTTCTACGGGCATGAGCTTCTCCCTGCTTTTGCCATTTGGAAGTTTCTAGACGAAAGTGGGCTGGGGACCATGTCCTACACACAGCTCTTCCTGAGACCCTTACACCTGTTCTCTAGTTTGTTCTTCTCGACTTAAAAAGAGAACTCTATGTTAGGCGGTGGAACTTTTGTAAAGCAGTGAGTTCTCCTTCATTGAATAAAGAATCTTGATAAAACATCCTTGGTTGGTGACAAAGTGCAGAACAGACCACTGGCATCTCTTTTGCTGCACTTAGAGAAAGAAAACCTCCGTGCTCTTGTGAAGTGCAGATTGTGCTTGCGAATAAATAGAAAGAGCATCTAAGTGGCTTAGAAAAGTGTGGAAAAGGAGGTGATTTGTTCACTTGCTGAGCCCTGAGAGGTTCATGTTTGAGTTTGTACCCTAGAGTTTTACAGTGAGAATACTGAGCATGCAATTCAGGCTAACATTTTATGTAACTACTTACTAAATGACACTAAACTCTGAATAATGATGTCTCTCTGTCTCTCCCTCCCCCCCTCGCTGTCTTCAGTAGAGCATGCACCACTTTGAACGTCAGTTTTTGGTAAAGTAAGCTGTGCTGTGCCTCCCCCAGCTTTAAAGATGCTGTGTTCCTGTGTGTGCGATTGGTCCTAATGCGTTTGTGTCGCTGGTGAATGTGGGGCATTTCAGCGAAACACAGCATCTTTAAAAGCCCCCAATCACTTCATCTGTACTTGTTTCATTTCCCTCATGACCTTCTGAAATCTTCATTTTCACTCCGATTTTAATTTGGAGATATGAGCTCTAATTTCATCTCGGTGGCATTTGAGTGCATTTTAATTTTGGAAACTGTTACTCTCAAATACTAGTTGCTGTAAAATGTTGGTTCCAAGATACTGATGGAGACGTGGTATTCTGCAGTTGGTTGTTGGCACAACTTCCTGGCTTTTATAGTTGATAACAGAAAATTAGTTCTTTCTGATAGACACTTGATGTTGAGTCTCCTCACCTGCCCAAGGCCAAGGCGAAGGATGACCCAAAAAGCCGAGGACTACTGTGTCCCTGTGTGACCCTGTCTCTCCCGGGCCCTTATGCCTAGGGGCCGGTGATTCACCCATCCAGAGCTATAGACACCTAGAGAAACTACTGGAATTGGCCTAAAAAGAGGTGACTCCAAATGTCCTTCCCGAAAGAGTGTTACAGATGTTGCTGGTACAGCAACCCTTCCAAGATATAAAATACGTAATTTTTCTTTGTGTACCAGAGTGGGGAAAGTTAGATCAGCTAGCGTTGAGGTTTCCGTCTACGAGCACATGAGCTAGAACTCAGAACTGACCTGCTTGTCACTGGATGCACTTAGAGGAGCCTGCCTATCCTCATTGTGATCTCATATAGCCAACATGGAGCTGTCTGCTCTGCCTCTTGTGTGGCCTGGGGGAGGCTGCTGGAGGCCTTTCTTACAAAGGGACTTTGAGTACAGGTACAAAGAGAGGCATCCGTCAGGCAGTTGTTTTGGGGTTTGTCATAGGGCAGATTGTCAGCCTGTGTCTGTTCCCTGCCTCTTCCTATCCTTTCTCGACACTGTTACTAATGGTCCTGTCTTATACTCACTTTTAAAGGAAGCTAACAGACTCTTAGAGTGTCTGAAGACACGGACGGGGTGGAGACCAAGCCCTAGTGTGTTCCTGCCTCTTCTGCTTTTGCCCTTCATTTCTAAGGGCCTCCCCTCATCTTACAGCGTCCCATGGAGGTTGGGTTCAGGCCTTCTGTGCCTTAGTGTACACACCAAGGCGAGGCCTGCTGCAGTCCAGGGAGCATCAGGGCCTTTGCTCCCGGTGAGCAGGCTTCAGGGCGTTTGCTCCCGGTGGCAGGCTTCAGGGCATTTGCTCCCGGTGAGCAGGCTTCAGGGCCTTTGCTCCCGGTGAGCAGGCCTCAGGGTGTTTGCTCCCGGTGAGCAGGCATCAGGGCCTTTGCTCCCGGTGAGCAGGCTTCAGGGCGTTTGCTCCCGGTGAGCAGGCTTCAGGGCCTTTGCTCCCGGTGAGCAGGCCTCAGGGTGTTTGCTCTTGGTGAGCAGGCTTCAGGGCGTTTGCTCCCGGTGAGCAGGCCTCAGGGCGTTTGCTCTTGGTGAGCAGGCTTCAGGGCCTTTGCTCCCGGTGAGCAGGCCTCAGGGCGTTTGCTCTTGGTGAGCAGGCTTCAGGGTGTTTGCTCCCGGTGAGCAGGCTTCAGGGTGTTTGCTCCCGGTGAGCAGGCTTCAGGGCGTTTGCTCCCGGTGAGCAGGCCTCAGGGCGTTTGCTCCCGGTGAGCAGGCTTCAGGGCGTTTGCTCCCGGTGAGCAGGCCTCAGGGCCTTTGCTCCCGGTGAGCAGGCTTCAGGGCCTTTGCTCCCGGTGAGCAGGCTTCAGGGCGTTTGCTCCCGGTGAGCAGGCTTCAGGGTGTTTGCTCCCGGTGAGCAGGCTTCAGGGCGTTTGCTCCCGGTGAGCAGGCTTCAGGGTGTTTGCTCTTGGTGAGCAGGCCTCAGGGCGTTTGCTTCCCCCACTGGGATGAGCAACTCCTCTTCTCACAGCCATGATATGTCAGATGCTGTATTGGTACACCAACCTCTTGAGGGCTTCATTACGTAATAGTTTAGCTTCACTTAGCAAATGAAGACCCTGAAACTGTTCCTAACTCCCAAACTCTGGAAGTATATGTGAGATTGTGAGGCCAGAGTCAAGGGTTGTTCCTCTGAAGACAAACTGTGTGCCGAGGCTGCTGCCACACTCATGAATTCAAGCCTGTGGGCCTTTCTTTAGCCTTCCCAAACCCTAGAGTGGAGGGCAGCCGCTCTCAGGATGGTCAGTTTCAGGCATGCCGTAGTCCCCAGTGCCGCTGCTCTCCAGACCTGTCTTCTGAGCCTTAGCCCTGCAGTGATTCTTCAGCCAGGGGCCTGGGCACAAATCTGGGGCGGGGAAACCTCAGCTCCTGGTCGGGTTTACACTGACCCCGAAGCTAACACTGCTTCTACCGCCCTTCCCTGGCCATTGGCACAGTGCCTAGTGTGTGCTCTCTCAGTAGCACTAACCCCACATGGGCAGAGCTTCTTCCTCTGGTAGCCTTGGTACTGCATGCCACCAGACAAGAGTCTGGGTTTCCGGAGCTTCGAGAGCCCTCCCCACTGCAGCATGTCACCGTCATTGCTCATATGCCTCAAGTGGAGTGAGGGTAGACGCACACCACCTGGGCTTCGTACCTCAGCAGTCACCGCAGGTTACCGTCCATTATAGCCCCGTGGTGGAAAGCCAGGATGTCCCCGTAACCCATCCTGCATAAATCCTAACTGAAATTCATTCATCGGTCTGTCCGCATTTCATCTTTGCATTGCTGTGCTGTCACTATTGGAGAATTCCATGGTTGCAGAGCGTGAGTGTGCATTTGTGTGACTCTTTACTTCCAGCTGCCTTGGGTTGGTAAAGGTATAAAGAAGGTGAGTGGGTTTGCGAACTGCTTAGAGGAAGGAGATACCTACTGAGTATTTATAGTGGCCTCATCCACCATGGTCAGGGTGTCTTCCTGTTATTCCTGCCCCTCAGAGCCGCGTGGTAACAACAGACAAGTAGGGTCTTAGAAGACCACACTGTTCATAACGGCCACACGTTAGTCTAGTACAGCGGTGATGTTTCACTGCTTTGGAAAGGACAAGTTACCTAGTGATTTAAAGGAGGAACAAAGATAAGAGCTTTAGGAATGGCTAGATGATCAGCAGGCAAAGGTGCAGGCCCTGCAGCCTTAACTGAGCAGCCTCTAGGACCTATGTGGTCCACTGACTGCCACACCTTGTCCTTTGAGCTCCACACATACTCCAGCATGATACCCAACTTCCCTTTCTTTGTCCAGGATCCTGATGCGCAGGCACAAACACACACCCGCGTGGACGCCTTCTGTTCTTGGGTTAGGCTTCCTCTTGAGAATGCCATTGCCAGGGAGAGATCCCTTTCTCCAAATTCCTGCTGACAAGCACTAGCATTTTATGTTTCTTTAATTCAGCCCAACAGGAGATCATTCAAAACAGATTCAAAATGCCCGTAAGCAGCTGGCGTCGGCTCCTTGTTGAGAATCCTGAGTGGCTTACTCTGTAACAGGCCAACAGATGTCACTCCTGCTTTTGTCAAAAAGTTCTGTGTCTCCTAAAGTCAAACAGCTTGCTTTCCACACACTTAACCTTAAGGCTTTTTGCCACTAGGCTCTGGATCTTTTACCACAATCCAGGCTTTTCAAGTGAAGATGCGGCTTTGTGGTGCTGCAGATCTTGTCACAATGCTTGCAGGATCTGAGTTTGGATTCTCAGCACCCAAAAGAAACAGTCAGTCAGGAGCAGCAGCAAGCTTGTAAAACTGCAAGGTTAGGGAGGCAGTGACAGGTCCCTGGGGCTTGCTGGCCTAGTCTAGTCAGTCTTCCAACCGTGTGAGGAAACAGCTAGGGACTGTTCCGTCCCTTTGGCCCAGCTTGGCATGCAGATACCTGTCTCACCCTGTGTACTCAGTAGGTAGCTGACCTGCTAGGAATGCAGGCTGACACCCATTTGAAAGAGATGACCACCTTTAAATCCCCCTTGTCGCTTCGGGTTCTTTTTCTTTAATGTTTCAAAACACCCTGAAGCCTGGGCTCTTGGCCCCACTGAGAACATTTAGTCTCCCAGAGTCCACTCTGCCCCGGCCCCAGAAGCAGCAGCATGCAGGGCCGTGGGAAGGCGAGCACTGACCTCCGGTCTCCTCCGCAGGGCTATCTTCTGCATCCCCTCCACCTCCTCCTCCTCCTCCTCCGCCTCCACCAGCAGGGCCCTCGACCTCAGGCACGGAGATGCCTGTCCCGCTCCTGCCCCAGGATGTGAACGGCGTGAACCGCGGGGCCTTGCTCAGCTCCATCCAGAATTTCCAAAAGGGAACTTTGAGGAAAGCCGAAACCTGTGACCACAGTGCGCCTAGGATCGGCTGACGCTTCCTGTTTACACCAGGAGGGCGAGCTCTTGGCTGTTGCACTCCGCCTAAGTCCCTCTTCCTAGGCGAGTCCTGCAGAGCCAGCACAGCCAGGCTCCAGGGTGAGACGAGGGGGGCCAGCACTGCTCCTCAACACTTGCTCCCTGTGACTCTGATGGGCTTCCTTTGGGGGCAGCAGCGCGTGGGAGTCATTATTTTCACCAGCTAAAGGAAAACGACAGAGAAGCATAAGCAGTGGCAATGTTCTGTCACACAGTGACTGGCCTATTGCGACCCTCCTACTCCATCAGAAGTGTTCTCCTAGGTCATTCTCTGAAGCTTCTGTGGTTGTTTCTTAGGTAGTTCACCTCAGCCGCTAACACTGTAACAAGGCCGTCACACTGCTGAGGCAGAGGCAAGAGCTCTCTTCATTCTCTTTCCAAGGGCAGGGGAAGGAATCTCACGGTGGTTGAGAGCAGTCACACTGGATTCCATAGTCTCTTCAGTTAGGATGTACCAAAACAGACAGAAACATTAACCACAGAAAAATCTCTTGCCAGTTAAGACATTGTCTCAGTCCTCGTAAGTCCAGGTTGGGATAGAGGGAGAGTCATCATTACAAGTGAATCTGGTCTATGGCAATCACTTCTATTTGATTTATCCAACTTCGGCATCTTTTTTGATGTTATTCGGTTATTAGAAACCTTTCATTCTGTGATTTGCTTAAACCTTTAAATTGCACTTTAAAGGATTATTAAAAAATCCATTTTAAAATTCAAATGCACACATCAGTGTTGGTTACTATGCAGAAAGAATGTCATTGTATATAATTTCATGTAATCTGTGATACATACTCAGCTGTATTTTGTATTAAAATAAATCATGTGAAAACATGTTGACTTTGCTGGATATTTCAGGTGAGAACTTGTACAGTATATTTTGTGAAAAAGTGTAGTGTCAAAGCATACTCCTCCTACCCTGTCTCCTCACCTCCTTTACAATCGCTAAAACCTTCACTGTGGAGAGACCTCAGTACGCTTTCATAACTTATTTTAAAGCAGTCTTTTCCACCAAGTTCTAAAAAGGCTCATATGACACATCTGCTTTTGCCACCGTGAGGAGCACCTGACATGAACCTTTTTCATTTCCAAAGGCCCACGCTGGGGCCGCAACTCAGCTGACAAAGTGCTTATACGGCACCCGGGAAGTGCTGACTTGCTACCAGCACTGCATCAACTAAGCGTGGTGGAGGGAGGTGGGTCATCCTCCTCTACTGACTGAAGTAAATACATGAGCCGCGAGGCCGTGTGCGGAGCTGTCTGGACTAGCGCCCAGCTGATGTCAGGTGGAGACCTGGGTCCGGGTGTCTCTGCTTTCAGGTCTTTCAGTTTTGGGTAGTTTCAGATATGAATAAAAGCACATATTAGGGGTAGGGGTGTAGTAGAGCACTTGGCTAACATGCATATGGCCCTGGAAATTTAACAACACAACCTTCAGTTAGGGTGTGGTGGCACACACCTTCAGTGCCAGCTCGTGGGTTGCAGAGGCAGGTGGATCTCTATGAGATTCTGGTCTACAGATAGTTCTGGGCCAGCCAGGGATACAGTGAAATCCTTTCAAAAGCTAAGGAGACTACATTTGCTTTATACAGTTATATGAAGTTATTTTCCATTTAACACTATTTCTTAATAGTACTCCAAGACTTCCACATCCGTTCTTTCACTAACATAAAAAGTTATCCCCTGGGTGGTGGTGATGATAAAGCCCGAGGGGAACCTTGGCAGAACCTGTAGCAGGAGAGGGTGACCGAGGCGGAGGGACAAACACACCAGGCAGACAGAGCTCAGTGAGAAGTTTTATTAGAAAGGGAAGGATGGGGGGAGGTAAAGAGGCAGAGGACAGAAGAGAAGAGGGAGACAGCAGGAAAGAGGGACAGAGAATGGAAGTAGGCGGGGCCTTTCTTTTAAAACCCAGGGTCCATACACCGGCCGTGTGCAAGTGGGTGAGAGGCGGGGCCAGGTGTGCCTGGGTTACAACAGTGGTGTCAGCGCACGCCTTTAATCGTAACATTCGGGAGGCAGAGGCAAGCAGATCTCTGGTGTTTGAGGCCAGCCTGGTCTACACAGTGAGTACCCAGATAGCCAGAACTGTTACATATCTTTCATCAGGACTCTTGCCCCTTGTAGTGAGAGAGGGAAAAAATAAATATTAATCTTATTCAAAGACTAGGCCAACCGTAACAGACAAAAAGTATAGCATCTAGGGTGGGGAGTGGAGTTTTCCGCGCATAAGCATATTTAAACTTAGCAGTGCAGACACCTGCTGCTGTGGTAGCACTAACTATAACCAGGAAATGTTTCTCAGTACACATCAGATGAAGTCCCAGTAACAATTTTAAATAAATTTCAATGACTTGCTATTCAAAGTCCAAATTAGACATTCAGTGTCTTCTTTATTGCAAATATGATGTCTTTGACCTGAGGTATGGAGTTGTCTTCTAGGATCTTTGCATAAGGCATAGGGACATCAGCACCAGTGACACGAACAGCAGGAGCATCAAGGAAATTGAATGCAGGGCCTGGGGAAGAGAAAGCTCACCTGAGAGGCTGCTTTGAGACTTAGGAAGAGAAAACAAGGTAATAAATGAACCCTAGTTATAGGGCACTGCTTTTGACTTGAATTTCTCAAACATTTACCTGAAGTCAGAAACCCTAGACTAACAAATTGGTCACCCCTAGCTTGGTCTTTTCCAGTTGGTATTCAACGACACAAACACACTGTTTGCCACGCTGGACTGTTTCCTGGAATGTTTCTTTGAAATACCTTCCATGATTCTGGCACAGATCTCAGCTCCCACTCCAAATTGGGGCCAGCCTCCTTCCACAGTTACAAGGTGATTTGTCTTCATGACACTGGCTTCTATGGCTTCCATGTCCATTGGTCTGATAGTACGCATATTTATTACCTAAAGACAATGCAGTAAATAGGCTTTATAGGATCCAAGAGACAAATACAGCCTTGACCCAAAACCATCACTTTTTTGTTTTTGTTAATCTCTGGATCTAGGGAATTGAGCCCACCTATCAATAGGTACACAATCATAGAGACTACATGAAAAACAGTATAGTAGTGCAAACTTGAAAGAGCAGCCAGTGCTCTTAACCTCTGAAACATCTCTCCAGCCCAAGAGAGCATTTCTAGAAACAGGTGGAGAGCAGTTGCACAAGAAACCCGAGACCACCCCAACTCCTCACACGCATGCACATTCAACCACACATCACAAGACCCAGTCTTGGACTGGGCTTCAGAAGTAACTGAGTCTAATCCCTGCATACCAAGGAGTCCCCCTTGGAAAGGGCTGTTTACTGTGCTTCATGAGCTATGGAATGAGGATGACAGAGAGTGCGCTCCACAGGGTGTGACTGGTGCACGTTAAGCACCCAACTATTTATTTGATAAAAGATGATGGAACCAAGAAGGGTGAGTGAGTCCTATAGGTGAGCAAAGCTTCCTGTGATGGGAATACGGGTTTCTATTTGAACTGTAAGTTCATTACGTTTTGTTTTAGACAAGGTCTCACTGTGTAGCCCACTGTCCTCAAACGTGGTCATCCTGCCTCAGCCTCCTGAGTGCTTGGATTAAAGGAGTGCGCCACCACCACCTGGCACCAACCCTGAGTGTTAAAAGGAGTCTCTGACTTAAAGAATGGGTGTGTGTGTGTGTGTATACTCACCTCACATTCAATCCCTTCCTTGGACAATACTGCTGCAGCTTCTAGGCAGTGGCCCACTGGTCTTGAATGGGAAACTACAGTGATGTGGGTCCCTGAAATGAAGGGGCCACAGAGTAGAAGTCAGGGAACTAATGTAGCACTGGTGATTCTGCAGCCTGCAGATGCAGATATAAGGTCTGTATATTCACCTTATTTCAGTGAGCTAAGCAATGTTGTATTCCTGGTATGAAATACACATGTACCAGACAGGGATTCGGAAAAGGCTAACTTGGGCTCATTTATCCTTCACTTTTTAAGTCAAATTACAAGGCTAACTTCTAACCTATGCAGACCCAAGGGCTACAGTAACAATAATGGTAAATATGTACTAAGGTGCTCTTACCTTGCCTTTCAATTTTGGCTTTTCCAATAGGAATGAGAAAATCTTTTGACTGAGCTTCTGTAGGAAGTTCAAATGCAACTCCATACATTAGTTCATTCTCTAGCATCACCACTGCAAGACATTGTAAGTTCTCAAATAAACAAACAACCACCACCAAAACAACACAACTACAGACGAAATGGCTAAGAATGCACATACAGCAACATCATTCATCTTCTGAAGCCTTGTCTCTTCAGGGTAGGTTACATGCTGACAGTGCAGCTTGGTCAATATGACTCTATCTGCTAAGGCTAAGCCAATGGTGTGGGTACCAAGTCCGTAACCAGCACCTTACCGTGAGAAAGAAAAGCAAACTTCCACTGTCTTTACTGTCTGTAAGTCATTAGCACGTTACACACTCACTAGATGCTCTGACCCTCATATGCAAAGAGTTCATGTCAGTTTTTAGTGTTAGCGTGCTGACCTGGATTATCGTCACGAATGGCCGATTTAATGAGTCCTTTGGCATCCTCGGAATTCCAGGGGCTGACCACTTTTAAACCTGGGCAGTGCCCATACCACGCAGCAAAGCACTGTGAGTGCTGAGCAGCTACCCCTGCTGAGGCACCATTTGGCCCCCTGAATACTATGGGCACAGGCTGGAGGCCGGCAGACATGTAGTAAGTCTTAGCAGCTGAGTTTATAACCTGGTCAATGGCTTGCATAGAGAAGTTGAAGGTCATGAATTCACAGATGGGCCGCAGCCCAGCCTGTCAAGTAGAAACAACAATGTTAAGAACCCTGAACAGAGCAAGAGTTCTAAATAACCACTCCACTCCCGATATTACAAACGATATTTTCTTTCTTTCCTTGGTTTTTCAAAACAAGATTTCTCCTTGTAGTCCTGGCTGTCTTGGAACTCACTCTGTAGACTAGGTTGGCCTTGGACTCAGAGATCTGCCTGTCTCTGCTTCCCAAGTGCTGGCATTAGGTTAAAGGTGAGTGCCTCCGTGCCCAGCTCAAACATTCTCAGAAGATAATATTAAAGGAAATCTCCTTAGATGACCTTCATAAATAATAGTACATACCATAGCTGCACCAACAGCGATTCCAGCAAAGCCCATCTGTAAAATAAACAGCAAACTAAGAAAACATCCATAGAATTAACCCTCAATACTCAGCTAGCTTCTCACAGCTGGCCTGGAAGGCTCACCTCTGATATGGGGGTATCTATGATCCTCTTGTCACCGTACTTCTTCCATAGGCCTCTGCTAACCTACAATGAAGATTTAACCCCATGACTTCCCAGTGTTTGTCAAGAAAAATGGGTACTTTTAAATTCTATGTAAGTTTACCTATTTCAGTTACCTTATATGCACCATCATACTGGGCAACTTCTTCCCCAAGCAGAAACACCTTTTCATCTCTTTCTAGTTCTTCATCCATACCCTGATTAATAGCTTCACGAACTGTCAACTGTCACAGGGGTATATAAACAGGAAATAAGCCAAAGGATTATTTAGATACTATGGAAGTCCCCTTCTTCATACTTACCTAGGCTGCCCACAACACAAGGCGTAACTAACACTCAAGCAGGCAATTCCCTTGAAAGTTCCAAGAATCTCAGGAGGCCAGAGGGCCAAGTCGGATGACTTCCATCCCGGTCACACACAGTGGAAGGAGGACACTGACCTCCTCAAGTGCACACATGTGCTTGCCCACACATACACAAAGCAGAAAAATGCGTAGCATACAAATTAAAGTTCCAACAACTTGAAAAGCAACACTTCTGCCACTAATCCACTCTGAAAACTTACAGAACACTTTGGTTGCACTGCTTGACGCACACCTGATGGGGCCCTAACCTGTCTCGAGGGCAGTTTCCTAAGTCGAGCGCGTGCTAGGCTGTGTCCATCACTGCCCTTGGAACGATAAATACTAAGAGGCAGAGAACCGGCAAGGAAGTCTAACCAAGGATGAGTAGTAAGCGCTCACTGGTGCCCAACCCCTGGCACCCGCAATGCAGGAGCCGTCCCTTTAACACGCAGAATGGTGAAGTCCCCCAGCCAAAGAGCTGTGTCTGCAGCCCGTGGTTCTCAGCCACCACCGCAAACCCAGACGGGGGAGGGCCAAGCCCCAAATGTCCATCCATCCCCGAGCAGACGTATAAAAACCTACAAAGGCTACTACGACTCAACCCTCCGGAGGCGCAAACTCCCATGTCTGTCTGTCCACGGTACAGGCGAACCTCGACGCTACTGTGAGGAGAGTAAAAGAAGCCGGGCAGACACCGAAGAAACCAAGCACTCAGCTCCCACAACACTGCGGGGTCGAGCCAAGTCGTGACGCCAGAAAAAAAACACAAAAACAAAATGGTCTGTAACGCAGCACTTGGGAGTCCTGTGAGTCAGCGCGGAACCGCCAGCGTTCTCGTTTTCGGGTGATCCCCCCCCCCCAAAAAGAAAAAGGTTCTAGAAACGAGCAGCGTGCACAGTGTGCGTGCAGCCGAGGCCACCGAACGCGGCGCGTTAACGCCAGGTTTCCCAGTTGCGTTTGACCGCAATTTCGGGAGTCAGGGAAAGCGCTGGGCCTGCGGGGGCGCAGAGTGCCATCGGCTCGACCAGGGCTCGGCCGCCAGGGTCCCCGATGCCGCCTCGGGCCTGCGCCCGCCCGCCCCGGAACCGAGGACGCCCGCCCGCCCGCCCGCCCGCCCGGCCCGATGGCCCTGCTCCGCGTCGGCGACGGTTACCTGCAGCGCGGCGGGCGCCGAGCGGTGGAAACGCCTCTTCACCAGTGCAGACACCTGGCGGGGAGAGAGAGAGAGAGAGGTTCAGGGGGGGTCCCGGGGCCGCCCCGGGCCCGCGGGGGCCGCTACACACCTGCCGCCAGGGCCCCCGCACCACACCGGCCGCCACCGCCGCCATCTTGCCCGTGTCCTCTACCCGCCGGAATGACAGCACAAGCGCCGCACGCCCGGCCCCGCGCAACCAACGGCGGGGGGCGGGGCGACCTCGGGACCCGCCCCCGCCCCCGCCCAGCGCCGGGAGAAGCCAATGGGGAGCGGCGACTCAGCGCCCCGCCTTCCCGAGGAAGCCAATCGCCAGACGGCGCGATGCCAAAAAGGGCCCCGCCCCTCGGTCTTGCGAACGTGGCCAACGGAAGGCTGCGACGTCAGCGGGCCCCGCCCGGCCAGAGCCCGGGGAAGGAGGCGGGGTGCGGCAGCTGATGCTCTCTGACTCAGGAGCCCTCGAGAACGCTTTGCCGGCCGCCCGGCTACCCGGCCGCCGGGGCAGCGGCTAGCACGCCCGGCACACACCCCTGGCTGCTGCCCGCCCACGTGCTGAGACCGTCGGTGCGGCCGGAGCGAGGGTGCAGGGCGCTTAGATCCACCACCACCCTTCTGCAGGCCTTGAGTAGCACGGGGGCGGCCCTTGCCCGCCGTGCAGTGGAGGGGGACGGTGGACGCGACTGCTCCTCGGTCTGGTGGAGGAGAACGTTTATTATAGAGATACCTGGGAGAGCCCTTGCCTTTGGATGGGCGCGGTCCCTTGGCTCTAAACAACAACGTTCACGTATGCCTGCCTGGCCGTCCACCGTGTGCCAAGTACTGCGTTGTACGCTTCCTAAGTGATTGCAGGTGGTTCCTGTTTTGTTGTTGCTGTTGTTTTATCTCCACCTAGGCATGAAGATGTGTGGAAGTTGTCCTGATCATGCTGGTTTTAGATGGCAAACCTAAGTCTCAAACGTGGGACAGACGGCTGTGGTTCACCTCTTTAATATATCAAAGTGAGCCTGGCTGCAAGGTCCTTCCAGCATCCTTCAGTCCCTTTGAGTGACTTGGTGTGTCAGCATACCCTACCCCCTACCCTGAACTTTCCAGCCCAAGGGCTGAGGTGCCCTAACCCCCAGAGGCTCTTTCCTATATAATCCAGACCTCTTGATAACCGGCCCTTTCTTACCTCGCTGCAACACCTGGTTCCCCTGTCTTCCCCTCCTCTCCTCACATGGCCCAGCTCAGTCTGGGCATGTCCACTCTGGACTCTCCCAGGTGTCTCTGCCTCCCGGATGCGCGCTCCCACACATCTCTACTAAACTTCCTTCACCATACCTAGCAGCAGTCGAGTCCTTTTTAAAATTTTTCTCACTCAATACCCAGATTGGAGAGGAAGTCTGAAGCCTAAAGACTTGGTAGGGCTAGAGATGGAATTTGGGAATAGCTGCTTAGATGTGGTCTTTGTTTTCTGTATTCTGTCTCATCTGTAAATGGAAAACGGACACTGAGCTATGGGATCTGGGATCAGCCCCTTCCAGATCTCCCTCACTGCTGCCATCAGGTGGCCACTTTGTAAGAAACACCAACTATGAGATGGGCCATGTGACACAAGCCCTTAATCCCAGCCCTCAGGAGGCAGAAGCAGGTGGATCTCTGAGTTTGAGGACAGCCTCACCTACAGAATGAGTTCCAAGACAGCTAGGGCAGTAAAGAAATCTTGTCTCGAAAAATCAAAGATAGAAAGAAATGGCAAATATAGATAGTTTCTGTTAAATACTGTAAAAACTTGTGCTTAGCACAAGGACTTTTTAATCTTCCCTGCTTTGAAAGACTTCCATGAAATGTTTTTTGTTTTTGTTTTCCCGAGACAGGGTTTCTCTGTGTAACCCTGGCTGTCCCAGAACTCACTTACCTGTCTCTGCCTCCCAAGTACAGGGATTGAATTTACCTTTTATTATCCTTTAGTTTTAGTTTTAAAAGTGATTTTTGAAGGCTGAGTGTGGTGATGCATATCTATAACCCCAGCTGTCAAGAGGCTAAGAACCTGGAGTCTTGGACTACATAGCAAGACTTCATTTCAAAACACACACATGCACTCATGCTATGAATGCTTTGCCAACACTAAGTTTTAAGGTTTCCTTTGAAAGTTTTGAAAGTAGATACATGATCCCATTTTTAAAGTATAAGGTATAGGTCCAAGTCTTTTCTGTGTGAATACCTAACTTTTTCAGCATCGTTTGTGAAACCTCTATTTTTACTCAGCCACTTTTGCAAGTTTGTCAACCAGTGGGCCCGGCTGGCCATATTCAGTGGGTCTATTTGGGAACCCATTTCTCTTCCACTGAGATATGGGTGTGTATAGCTGCATAGCAACTTTTACATTTTATTTTTGTTTCCTCTCTTTGAGATGGGGTCTAATATAATTTAAACTATACTCAAACCGACTACATAGTTAAGGATGATGTTGAACTTCCTGATGCTTCAAATGATGCTGTAACGATAAGCGACACACTTACTGAAAGTAAAACTAAGTATTTTGTAGAAATTACTCACAAGATACCAAACAAGTAACCCAGATGAGCCAAGTAGTTTTCCGCTGCCAAACGGGAAGCCGAACTCCGGGGGGGGGGGGGAAAGAGACCAAGACTTCCTGTGTACTGTCTTTTATGCCTTCCCCCGTAACGCCCCCCTAGCCATGCCCAAAAGTGGGCCTGGCTAGTGACGTAGTTCACCGCCTACGTACATATACGTCTTTACGTCCATCCGTATACGTCTTTAGTCATGCCTAAAGTGGGTGTGGTTAGTGGTGTGGTAAACTGCCCTTTTATTACCTCATCTGTATGCGCCTCTAGTAAGTCACATGGTTAATGGCGGCACACAGGCTTCCTCCTACAATTCCCCTTTTAGTCTAAAAAGGACAACTAACTTGTGTCAATGAACAAATTGTATCAAACATCTATCCTATCTAAACCTAAACTTATCTGAAAGAAACACCCAAATCTGAACACCTCCTTCCAATCCCAACTCTAAAATAATTGAAAACTAACACTAACAGGTGTAAACTATCCTATAATAGCAATAGTAGGGAGAGGGGACGTGGAATTCTCAAAATTACTTCCTGCTGAGATGGGACAATGATAATCTCATGGGGACCTGTGAGAAGAAAAATGTTAGTATAACAAAATCTCTGTAGATCAGACAGTCTCTGTATGGCAGGAGATGCTTGATTGAAGTTCCTGACTGGGGTTCTAGTGTTGATTGAAGCTCTCATCTGAAGCTCTGGCCAGATTGTAGAAGGTGTGCTGTTTCAGTTTCTTGGTCCGGAGTTGTGTAGAGTGATGTAGTTTCAAGCCAGTTTCAGGATAGTGCTTGTCAGGTGGAGTCAATGATGTGGGGCAGTTCAGATGCCTCCAGTTGATCAGGTGAAGTCAAGGAAGTGGATCCTCATTTTCTTTCTGAAGCTGTTGAAGATTGCTGTCAGGAAATCCCTTGTTCTCTGGAAAACTCAAACGTTAATGTTAACAAAGAAATATTTTAATTTTTATATGTATGCATACTGGGAGAGGTGACAATAGGGAAGATGGTAAACCTGAAGGAAATTAGACTTTTCAGAAAAAGAAATCCACAGATAACAGTCCCTAATTTTATTTTCTTCTGTCTTATATCAATGGCTCTTTGATATAATACAGAAATTCTGAATTTTATTTAAATAATATGCTTGAATTTAGAGTAGGAGAGCCAATCCAACTCCAAAGCCAGCTTCAGTTAAATGAATGGGGACTGAGGTATGTGAAGAAATAAAGATAAAAGGGTACTATGAAAAACAATATAGAGAGATTTAGATTTTGATACCATACTGAGTTACTATTTGTTTGATGGTCCTCAGGGTAGCTATTCATTCTTCTACAGGAATCCATATGTCCAGTATTCTTTGCTGAGTTTACCTGTGAAGACAAAACAAAACACTTCTCTTTCCTTTTAGGAGGTCACTTTACCCATGGTGGAATATGAATTTGTAGATGAGCTGTTATCTTCCTCCTCCTGAGATGTCGTCTGTTCTGATCGAATTTTAATTAATTTTGATGGAACCCAAACCTTTTCTTCTCCTGTGGAAACAAAAGTAAAACCCCTTCCCCAACGTAACACATATCCTGGTTTCCAGACTGAGGTCATAACATCCTTAAAATACACCTGTTGGTTCAGTTCAGAAGTCTTCTCTGTAGTCCAGTGTCTTTCTGCTGCAGTTTGTCCTTTTTCATCAGCATTAAGAAAATTCAACGTTAGTAAAGCATTATGTAACCTGTGTTTAGATGTCTTTGTTTTCCCTGGCTGTTTATGAAGCATCTCTTTTAAGGTTCGGTTAGATCTTTCAATTACCGCTTGTCCTGTGGGATTGTAAGGTATACCAGTTACATGTTTTATATTATAATATTTGAAGAATTGTTCCAATTTACTGGAGACATATGCTGGAGCATTGTCAGTTTTTATTGTTTTAGGTATACCCATAACAGCCATTACCTCTAAGAGGTGTGTAATAACAGAATCAGCTTTTTCAGAGCTGAGGGCAATAGCCCATTGGAAGCCTGAGAACATGTCTATGGTATGGTATACATATTTCAAACTGCCAAATTCTGGGAAATGAAATACATCCATTTGCAAAAGTTCATTTCTGTGAATACCTTTAGGATTACAACCTGCTGGTAATGGAGTTTGATTGTAGAATGAGCAACTGGGACAATTTCTTACTATTTCTTTGGCTTGTTGCCAGGTGATAGAAAAATCCTTCTTTAAACCTTTGCTGTTAACATGGTGTTTCTTATGAAATTCTGAAGCTTCCAACACATTACCTACTAATAAACGATCAATTTCATCATTGCCTTGTGCCAGAGGACCTGGCAGACCTGTATGGGATCTGATGTGTGTTATATATATAGGATGAGTCCTGTTTCTGATGATTTCCTGCAATTGTAAAAACAATGAGGTTAATTCTGTATTATCAGGAACAAATTCTGCAGTCTCAATGTGCAAGACAACTCTATCTGCATACTGAGAATCCGTGACTATATTGAGAGGCTCTGTAAAGTCTTTAAGTACCATGAGAATGGCATATAACTCTGCCTTTTGTATGGAATTGTAAGGGCTTTGAACTACTTTACTTATATGTCCTGATTTATACCCTGCCTTACTTGATTTGTTTGCATCCGTGTAGAAGGTAAGAACTACAGAAATAGGTGTTTGCC